AGAAGCTCTGATGCAGACAGGGCTATCTGGTGAGCGCTCAAAGAAACCTTTTGCACTCTTGTCTGTGGGCGCTGAAACAGCTGACTCTATCTGCTGAATGGGCTCTTTTCTCCATTGCAAAAGGACTTTCCTGAATCTTCATGCGTTTGCTCTCGGGCAGTGTGACAAGGCACACAGCTTTTCGCTCGCCGGCAGGGCTGCTGCTGTTTTAGCCGTTTTCGAACTGGACACAAGTACACAAGCTCTAGTTGCAGAAAAGTACATCTTGCAGCCTAAAATAGAGGGCGTGAGCTAAACAAGACGAATAGTTCCATTACAAGCACATAGATGGCCGTGCTGTGCTGAGAAGCTGCCGCGTGGAACCACTCCGCGCGGTGACGCGGAGCTCAACTTCAAAAAAAATATTTTTTCGCTCAAAAACAAATATTGCTTCGTTTAAATTTTATAGATCACAAGTTCATATGGCGTTCTACCGCTTGAGTGGTCGGGCATATTTTTACTTGGACCACCTCACTGCGAAATTCGCAGTTTAATATAAACCAAAATGCCGTTCTGCGCAACGTTACGCTTTAATATAACAAAAACCTTCTTTTTTTTTCCTTCTACCGTAGGAAGCTATTTCATACAAAAAGTAGACCTACAAAACATGCGGAAAACACTCCTAGCACGGGTATACAGACTCCCAAATTTAAACAAACAAATCTCGAATACGGAACAATTTCAGCATTTTGTCTTTAATTAAAAAAAAGAAAAAAAAGAAGCACTATATCATTTAGAATGGGCCTCATACGAAGTAATAATGCCAGTAGAGTTGGAGAGAAAAAATTGTGCGTTCCTAACTAAAGATGTGTACTTTTGGCAATTTTTTTCGGCTCTCCGGGAATTTCAAACGAGGCTAGCGCGGCCGAGCAATTTTTGTGGACGAAACTATCGAGGCAAGTGACTCTTCCACACATCAGGAACCCCTGGGATTTCTTTTCGAAAGAATCGGCGATGGTCGAGCGTCACGCCGTTTGGCACGGAGGCGTGAATGTGGCCAATGCGTGGTGCTGCCAGACTTGGACCCGAGGACAACCAGCAGCAAACTTTCCAGGCTACAGTTGAACGGCTGCATGACTACGGAAGAGATTCCCCAGGAGCTCAGTGGAAAGATGCCCGCCTCACACGCGCCGGTCCGGGTTTCATCCTCAGTGTAAGCGTAATCTTTTTTTTTTTTTTTTTTTTTGTAAACGTTTTACGATGTTTACATTTTTTTTTTTACAATTATTACTGAAAAAAAAAGTGTTGTGGACAATACGTCGCTGAACTAAATGGTTGGGATTTCCTTACGGGAACCTCGGAAAGCGTCCGCTTTCCGAGATTCCCGTAACTGTTCTACAGAAATTGCAGCCAGCCGTTAATCCCGATCCCGTAAAAAAAAAAAAAAAAAGCGCTGGTGTAGCCACGTGACTTCCGCCACTCACTCCTCTCCACTACTCCGACCTCAGTGCGCGCGGGTTTCAGCAGTTCCAGCCAATGATTCGGTTTCAGTGTCGGTTTCGAGCAGTTGCATTTTTCGGCTTCAATAAACATGTACGTGACTCTGTAGCAAAATATTAATTGGGTAGTATTCCGATGCCATAATAAATCGCATAAAAAATTAAAAAAAATAACATTTTTTTTTTTTTTTGGGGGGGGGGGGGGGGGGGTCAGTTTCCTGTACTATCGGGGAAAAATGAAATGCGAACAGAGGAGCGCATGGCTCGCGGTACATGCTGCGCCGCCTAGAAGTGAGCCTAGAAGCGAGGGTGCGTGGCCTACTCCGACGTGTTCACGCCCCTCCCTCTGCGCTCCCCAAGCTTCAGCAGTGCGCCTCTTGGTGCGCTGAAAGCTATCACCGCTATCTTTGCTGGCTCAGCGCGTGCGGTGCAAAGAAGCTCGCCGCACTCGCCGAGCAGGCAAAGATAGCGGTGACAGCTTTCAGCGCACTGAGAGGCGCACTGCCGAAGCTGGGGGAGCGCCAATCGAGGGGCGTGAACACATCGAAGTAGGCCACGCACCCTCGCTCCTAGGCTCACTTCCAGGCGGCGCAGCCTGTACCGCGAGCCACGCGCTCCTCTGTTCGCATTTCATTTTTCCCCGATAGTACATTTTCAAGGCCGATTTAGTCTGCCTTGCAAATAGTTTGTGTCAAAAAAAAAAAAAAAAAAAAAAATGTTGCTTTTTAATTAGCGTTATTTCTCGGTGCTCGACGCTCGCCCTCCCGCGGCGGAAACGGGAAGTGCTCTAGTGAGGGTCCCCCGATTCTCCTGCTCAGCCGACACGGCGGAACTGCTCGCGATCACGGCTCGCGAAATGTCATTTCCGAATGCGAACAACACTCTTCACTGTCCCAACGTAGTGCTGCAGTCGGGATTGTACCTTACAGGAGAGTTTTAGTATTGCGTATAAAAGTAAACGCAAGCGGTGTGCGTTCGCGTTAGAGTTGCCTGCCCCATGGTTGTGCGTGCGAGGCATCGACGTGCGGAAATCCAAGACCGCAATTTCGGGCTTGCGCACGCGCAATGTCGAACACGCAAAGCTAACGCAAACATACAGCGTTTGCGTTCGCTCGTATACGCAATACTAAAACTCACTACTGTTTCACCGGCTTGCAACGCCAACGAAACGTGCTGCAGTGAGCAGATGCGCAGGCAGGTAAGCGTTCCTTCGAACTGCAAAGGCTGAGATTATTGGCAAAACGACGGAGCGTAAGAATAAAAGTAACAAAATGTTATTAAAAAATTAATAATTAAAAAAATAATTTTTTAAACTTTTGGGCATTTTTTGGAAGAATATTGGCGGCGATTTTGGACGTTTTGCCGATTGTCAAAAGTCGCGACTTTCAGAGCAAAATATACTTTACCCACGATTAATGTAATTAAACGTGGATTTCTCAGATTAGCTAGAATGTTTTCATTGATTTTAGACCATTTTTATTTTATCACTCGGTAATTAAAATGCTGCAATTGGCACCAGTGACGATAATTAGCACATTTTTGATTGTCATATTTGTTCGCGCGTTTGAAATTAGATCATAAGCAACAAGTTATATTAGAGCTTGAAGAATTACGTATTAAAATATCTAAATTTTAATATTATTATTATTAATACAAATCGCGGCAATGTATGCCGCCAATTAACGCCAAGATCAGGAAAATACGACATTTAACCATAATAGTCTTTCCAGGAAAGTATAATTTTGTTTCCTTGTTAGCATAGAAAAAACTCTGACATCGTTATCAAGATAGACAAGCAGTCAAACAGTGGATGTAATATAAAGTGCTATGTGTCACGCGTTGCTTTAAAAACACACTTCAGCTGTCTGACCCGGATTCCGTCTTTGGGTTGTTGCAGTGAGAACAGCGTTTATTAATTTTTACGTTTTGTGGACATATTGTAAAAATTTGAATTATTCTCTTATTCTTGTGCAGGGAATAGTGTAAAACCAATTAATCATTTAAATACCCAGAAACCTATTAAAAAGTCCGCAGTTTATTATTGCCCATGACATTATCTGAGCGAGAAAAGGCAGCGAGAACGCAGATATCCGCACTGATTTTTTCAACTACAAACATCAGCCTGAATGGAACATGTATGTCACAAAATAAAGCTTCCGGAAACCACTTCTCTAACTCAACAATTACGATGTGAGACACATCCCGAGCTATGAAATAATTTGAAATTAACTACATTGAGAAATTAAATCCAAAATAGAGGTTAGTTTCGGTTTCGTTCCCGAATTAAAACGCGCATCCTTGCGTAAATGTACGCTAAACACCGTTCTTGTTTTCAGGGTAAAGAGGTGACTTTCGCTCATAACACCCTAGCGTCTTCGTATTACCAGAAATAATTAGTGTCGCTCAGTGCAACCAGCACACTAGACAGGCTCAACAGCGGGACGCATCTCCGACCCTCACTACAACCGCCATTTTGAAAAATGAGTGGCGCCACCTATAGTTAGTTGGAGTCGCGAATAAGTAACGTTGGTTGCGCATCTGACATTTCTAATAGCGAGTTCGTTTCACACGCACTGGCACCGTTCGAGTTCTCTCCCAGAATGCATCGCACCCTCAGAGTGTTGCACGGAAAACTGAACTCAAACGAACTCACCAAATGCACCGAGTGCAGAAGACTGATTCTGCCGCCATCTATGTTGTAGAAAAGGTACCGACTTTAAACCGAAACTAGCGCCTTTCTGATCGGAGTTATGCGTGCGAATGCGAGAATGCAGTCGCTACCAACGTTTATCTAGAAACGTTGGTTGCTGCAACCTGTAGTTTATAGTTGCGATGACTTCAAGCAGCTCGGCTGCCGTAGAGATAGTTACAGACGGCGTAAATTTCCGCAACCAGCTGTCTACAAAGCAGCTGGTTGCGATCTTTCAATTCTTATACATGGCTTGCACATGACGCCATTTCCGATGCCCTCCAGAGAAAAGGGGAAGAAGGAGCTCCCCTCTTATCACGAGCCTCCTTTGTGGCTCCCGGATTTGCACAGGCGTTGCTATTCTCCTCCCAGAAGATTATAGAAGATTAACCTGTCACTCAAAATTCTCACAAAAGCAGCTTCCCTCTCCTCCTTTTACTTGGTGTTCAAAAGTATGCGATGTGACGTCAGTGCAAGGAGCCTATAACCGTTTACACTGAAGAAAACTGATGATGCTGTCCGAGCACAAGCATGATCCGTTTGAACATGGTATTATGCGTGAACCGCTGAAAGGGTGCGGCTTAAAACTAGCCTGTTGGAATATCCAGCAAGACGCTCACAATTCAAGCTCGCGTTTGATTTCGTGGCCCGCGGGACGCGATTTCTATCAGAAAATCTACTTTTTTTCCGTTCGGTTCCGCGACACATCGTAGCAGACGGACCCTCGTCGTCTGCTCCCGCTCCTCGCCGGCACCGCCGAAGCGAGGCATGACGGGATTGCATTTTGGCGCACTCCCGATTTATCGGTGCAGCGAGTGCCGCACGCGTGGGGTGTCAGCGCTGAAACGAACTCGGAGAGTGCAACCACTCGTGGAGTGCCAGCCGAAACGAACCCGTTCTAACTCTCGCATCTTGCTAAACGTCCGGCGTGTCCAAACATCAGAAATCGGCATTTCAAAAGTTAAAAACGAGACGTTGAGAATATGGGACGCACACTTTCATGCAAAGCTGGATTCAAGTGACTCAAATCGAAAAACATGCATGTTTACAATAATATTGTCCTGGTGAAAGATGAGCCGTTTCATTCATTTTCGCGCCCGAAACGGTGAATAGTAATTGGGGGTTGTGTGGATATTTATGCAGCGTGTAGTCGGTCAACCATTTGAAAGTCGCGACGAGCAAGGAGGTTATAATGCGACGAGTCACTCGCTGTAGATGAGCAACGAAACGGTGACTCGCACGTTAATACACTTGCTGCAGGCTTGCAAGGAGTTAAAACCGAAACTCACGTATCCTGACTGCGTCCGCTACGTCAACTTCGTTGTCACGTCACTTCTGCGAAAAGTCACTGTAAAATTGCCAAACACACAGAAATAAAACCCGTGTCGTAGAATATCACCAATATACATTTAAAAAGAAACCGAAACCCTTTTGTTTTTGCCCGAAAAAACAAGAAACAACGAAACATCAACTTTTAAGTCTGGCTACAATGTATTTTTGCCGAATCTTTTGAAAAGTTCGCCAGAATTTCGATTCGGCAGACTGCAGTACGCGCAACAAGCCAACAAGCGCACCACGCTCAAGGACGCTGCAAATGGCAATGACCAGAGGCCGTTTTCGTAAGGCTCACGGATAGTGTAACGGGCGGCGCGGCCGTTGATTCGCTCCCAGTGACCTTGCTGGCAGCAGCCAGTGTGTCCGAACACAGTCAACACAGTGTTCACAATGCACCCACACGCCTCACAGGGAAAAGGTGCCTTGTGGCCGGCGGGCGACGAGGCGCCGTTGGCGCATTCCGTCCAAGGTCTCTGGCGGCGAAGCAGCGAGCGGCCGCTTTTCTTTCTTTTTGCGGCAGCAGCTGGACTTCAGCTGAGGGCGTGGAAACCACGTGGCCACGCGAGCGCGGCTGTGCCTCATAAACAGAGGCGGCCATTGGTCGGCCGAGCTTCGGCGCCAAGAATCCCGCTCGGCTACGTTCGGTACAACTCGATTCCTCTCGTCGCGTATTCGGCGGGGCTCGGAGCCAGTCAGCAGGCGCGTGACGTCGTCGGGACGTCAGATTGTTGGCGGGTGCCCGCTGGAAGGGCTTCGTTGTAGCGTTCCAAACGGTCACGGTCGTAGCGTCGGGCGCGGGGGCCTTCGCTGGAAATTCGTGGTCTACGTCCCGGGATGAGCATGAGCATCCGCACTCTCCTCGAGGCCGCCGAGTACCTGGAGCGGCGGGAGCGCGGTGAGTGGCCGATCGGGCGACTGACAGCGTCCAACATGGACGCCGTCCCTGGCACAGCTGATTTTGACACGGCGCAAACAAGGCCGCCAGGGCGGGCGGCCGAGCTCGCGTGCCCGACGGGGCCCCGCCTGACGCGTCCCTCCCCGCAGAGGCCGAGCACGGCTACGCGTCCACCATGCCCGTCCCGGCCGACCTTTCCCGGAGGAGACCCAAGACAAAGAAGGCGCAGGGGAGCAGGTCAGTGCCGCTCGCGTCGTCCGCCCGGAGAGGGCCGACGCCTTCTTCGGCGGAGGCCTTTAGGCCTAGGCGCGCCGTCGGCCCACCGAGTGCTGACGGCGCTCGACGCTCCGGGGGACGGGCGGCGGCCAGCTGATCGCCTTTTCCCCCTTCCAGGAGCACGCACAACGAGCTGGAGAAGAACAGGTGAGCCGCCCTCGTCTGGCCACGCTGGGGCTCGGTCGACCACTCCGTGTGACGTCACAGATGGGGGCCGTCGGCTGCCGTCGGGCGCCCTAGGTGTTTTGTCGGCGAAGAGCCATTAGGACATGCTCCTATTGAGACTTAAATCTGTACTACAATACTTGGAACGTGCCGGTAAGGATTATGGGAAGTAGATAATACAAAGGGACAGACAATTTCCAAACTGCCAGCAGTCTTATTTATTTATTAGTGATGGGGCCGAACTTTTGTCAATTTAAAATTCGGCGCTGAATCTTACGATTCGGCAAAGCCGAGGTTTTGCCAAACATTTATAAAGTTTCGGCAAAATTACATTGTATGCAGACGTCAAAGTTTATTTTTCCTTTTTTTAGGCGAAAAAAGATTTTAGGTTTTATTTTTTAATGCACATTGACGCAGTTATTACTAAATAAGGGGATATACTACGAGACAGTTGTATCGTTTTCATTTTTGTATTTACTGGCAATTTTACCGTGACTTTTCGCACAAGTAGTGTGACAATGAGGTTGAGGTAGCAGATGCATTCACGATGCACAAGTTTCGGTTTCGAGGCCTTGTTGGAGCAAGTCTGCGAGCGTGAACGTTTAAAAATAAAGGTGGCCAGTCACTGTTTTGTGCGCGAAAATGAATGCAACCCATTATTTATATTGTACTACGACTTGTCAAAGAAATGGGTCTGATTTTAAATCTCAAAATTCAAGTGGTGCAATTCTTGCTCAGAGAGACGGGTCTTTTATAAAAAAAAAAAATAATTCTTACAAAATAATTCTTACTTCAAAGTTATAGGTGGGGCAGAATACAATAGTCGTGGCAACGCTCGAGTAGGTTTAGGTAACGGAGGCATTGTAAAACAAATGACAAGAATAATCGTGTACGATTCACTGTCTCGAATTGCGTCCAGTGTAGCTAGCCACTGAGCCAATTTTCTTTTGCCACCGAGCAGTCGGGCCGAGCCGAGCCAAGCCACTCTTGTAATGTCGTAATGGCCGCAAGTGCATAGTTGCGGAAGTGATCAACCGTGAAACCGAGTGGCACACACTCTCGACGAAGAATTGCTCGGCCCCGGACATTCTTCGCCCGTCGGATACATCAATGTCGACAAACACGCCGCTGCCTGTGGTCCGCTTTTCGGACAGTGAAATCGTGAAAGTGGTTAGGCCTATGAACGGTTGCATTGCCTCCGTGCTGGGCGAGCTTCGTAGGGCGCTTTTCCTTCGGTGAAAGGAACTTGGAAAGCGCCCTAAAAAGATTCGCAATTTCAAGAGCACGGTTATTGTGGCCCCGACCAGCCGTGGGTGCGCCTCCGTTGGTGGAGACGTGCCACGGTACCTTGCCGCGTCGTCCTTGGGGAAAAATGTGCGTTCATTGCGCGAGTCAACAGGGTAGTTGGTAGACCGATACAATGTGGGCAGTGTGTATGGAGGAAACAAATGAGCGTGTGATTCTAATATGCGAGGAGCTTAGTCCTGCCCTTCCCTGAGGGGCGACAGAGGCACCGGTGGCCCTCTCTGGAGAAGATGGAAGGCTGGATTATAAAAGGGTAGTGGAAACAAAGAGGAGATGGAGGGCTGCTGGAAATTATCTCGGGGAAATATGAACCGAGTCCTAGCACAGCTCCGGGCCAGGCGGGACAGAAAAAAGACCCCCTCCCGCGTGGCTCTGGCCCAAAGTCTCAACCCTGTCCTTCAGTGGGTCGGCTCTTGGGTGACGCCCACAAGGTTCAACCAGAGGAAACTTGGCGGCTCCCTCACCGGGGAAAGGAGGCGGGAGGGGGGGATGTTCTAGTTTCTTCCCCTAAAGGTCTGCCTGGCGATCATCTTCATGACCTGGTGATAGTTAGGAAAACACATTGGCTTGAAAGGGGAAATCTGGTTCTTGTTATTGTTTTTACGCTAGGTGGTGCGTCACCTAACATTACAAAGTGTACAGCTGTTATCATCCATCCATCCAAGCCAGTGGTGTACCAACTTGTTTTTAAGTGGGGGGACAAACCAGACTCCCCCCTCCCCAGGGCCGGGGGGCGGTGCCCTTGGCATTCCTCGGGCGCCGCCGGCCAGTGTTTGCCCTGCCCAGTGGCGGCTGTTTCGGGGGGGAAAAACACGTGCCTTGCCCCCTCATTCTGAGAACCGAGGGGGCAAGGGGGCCGCTTTCCCCTCCAGTTCTCAGTGGGGGGGCAAGCACCCCCCGTTGCCCCCCCCCCCCCCCCCCCCCCCGGTGTGTACGCCTATGATCCAAGCTGCAGTTTTAACAAAATGTAGTCTTTTTTTCTTAAGAGTTGGGGAGCTGTCGAAAATAGATTTCTGCTTGAAGTGGCACTTGCCACACGGTCCCGCCGACATTGGGGATTTCTACGAAGGCAGCGTCGGCTAGAGCGCCGTAACTCACCCGACTTGTGGGGCACACTTTGTACATCTAAGATCTATTAAATTCCTAGAACGACCAGCCACAAATGTTTCCTATTTTTGTTCCAATTCTGCAAAAATTAAAGTTCAACGTTTAAATTTGGAAAACTCTTTTCGGACATTATTGTAACCGTTTTTCCTCGCCAAAGAGCAGCTTATAGGCTACATTCTGATGCATCGTAATAAGCAATATGCTCAATCGTCTTTATCGGTGGCTCCGAGGCAAGAGCGCCGGCCTACGGATCCCCAGGTGGCGGGTTCGAATCCCGGCCGAGGTGCCCGTAATCTGACGGAGGCTTATTGCGGAACCGAGCTTTCGGTTCCACGTCAAAAGATCCCCAGGTGGTCCAAATTAATCCTCAGTCCTCCGCTGGGGCGTGCCAGATGCTCGTCGTTGGTTTGGCACGTAAAACCCCCAAATTTGGCATTCATCTTTAAAATAAAGAAAAAAAAAAAAACGCATTTCGTCATTTTTTTTTTAAATTACCGCTTTTCCTCGTGGTACGGAAAAAGGGGGTGCGCAACAATACTGGGTTCCAATGTTTCTCACTTTGCGTGAGTGTGCGGGGATTAGTGTGGCTCGGGTATATTTGTGTGCAACACCACCGACCCGGAAGCTTCTTCGCCATGGCATAATTTTGAGGATTAAAGCAAACTTCGGGCTTTCCCTTCCCCGAGCTAGACTGTCGCAGGGACTACCCCTTACGGTCCATTCGCACGACCGCGGTTAGTCCGTCTCCTGAGCGCATCTGCACGAACGTGGCGGTTACGTGGCGGCGAGGCCTCGGAGCGCGGGGCTTGGGCGCGAGTGGCCCGGGCGGCCCGAGGGCAACCGACGTTCAGAAAAAAAGCCCCCGGTTTATTTTGAATGCAATGACCGCTCGAAGGAGTGCCCCAGTTAAGACAGAATGCTACGTAGGTGCTTTCTACGTCTCCCCTTTTGCCCGTTACTGCATTGGGAATAGTCCCGTTCTAACCGTGTGTGGAGCTTGGCACGTGGTTTCGCATTGCGGTGGGTGACTGTGACGAACATAAGCGAATCGTCGCTATTCACCTTGAGTTCGAACCGTATCGCCACCGTGCAGCCAAAATTGGTAACGTGCGAAAGCGGGGACACTGCCGCGCGTTGTCTACTACGGGCGCACAATCAGAAGCATGAATTGGGACGATGCAAGCCCATTTCCGGCCGAGTTGGACCTTCCTTATTAAATGTACGATGTTTTTGTTGTTTCTTCTTATCAAAGGTTGTGCTGTATCGTTTAACACGCGTGGAAATTCGGCAAAGTGGTAAATATTAAGTTGGATGCTCCCGTAATCTTAGTGATGTGGCTCGTAGAACCGCTGGTCCTACGAGTTATTATTTAAATGGTATAATCACCCTCGATGACAATCACAAGCGTGCTGAAATGGCTTGCCGTGCAAGTCTGTCCTAAAAGAAATAAACGCGTCAAATATTAAAACGGGCATTTTTTACTTTTTTCTGACTTTCTCCGGCACAATATTTCGATTAAACGGCAAAAAAAAATCTCTGTCAAAGCATCGCGCGAATAATCTGAAGTTGAATCGATAAACTGCCCAGTCCCGATATGTGTTAGGTGAGTGATCGGAAAGTCTCGTGAAGGTCGCTAGCCCTCATCGGTAAAAAAGTGCCTTTGCGGGCGATGCTGTCTGGGTCGTGGTGCGGGTCTTTTGTTGGGCTTGCAGAGTCTACTGTGTTTGAATAGAAGATGATTTAGCCAGAAATTTAGAACATTTTGACATCCACAGACCTCCCCGGGAAAATTAAATCGGGTGAACCCACGCTACCGAGAAGAGAATCTAATAAGACGCACGCTGCTGCCTTTACATTCGTTTATTCCACTAGCGGCATAGATTAGGACAGTCTGTTTCACTTGTTTCAGTTGTCCCGCACACTAACAGTTTGTGGATCGTAACTAGAAGAGGCGCTCTGTCCTCATCGCTACATAGCAGAATTGTACAGACTCCAAAAAACTTACCCACACCATGGCACAGTAAAGGGAAACATTGGCCACAGTGGAACTTTGTTACTCATAAAAGCTAGCAATAGCCCACACCCTGGCACAGTAAAGGGAAACATTGGCCACAGTGGAACTTTGTTACTCATAAAAGCTAGCAATAGCCCACACCCTGGTACAGTAAAGGGAAACATTGGCTACAGTGGAACTTTGGTACTCGTAAAGGGTAGCAATAGCACGGTAATTTACAGTACAGCACTAACTTCTCTCAATGCGAAATATTTATATTACTGCAAAAGCTAAAAGTTACACAAAAAAGTGAAATGCAAAGAACTAGTGGCGTCGCTAGGGTCAGCGGCACCCACAACGACACCCCCGTCCCCCTCCCCCCCGCTCGTCGCCTGCCCTCCCGCCCGTTGCCCGCTGCAACATCCCCCCTCCCCCCCTCTCGTGGCGCGCTGCGACACCCCCTGGAGCTGCTGCGACACCCCCCTGCACCCCCCTTGTGTGACGCCACTGCATAGAACCTACGACTTTTTTGACCCAGGGTACGGGTATATTTTACAAATATCCGGGTTGGAATTCCTTGTTTTGTTTAATTTCCACGCTGGTAGACCGAGACATCTCTTTGAAAAGGAAAAATCTTCAACATAAGTAGGGCAGTTCAGCCAAAGAGCATCCGTCGTGGTGATCCACGCTTCCCAACGTCTGCCTAGAGCAGATGATGCATCCAGGCGAGCGGTTATTTAAATTTAGGCCGTACGCTGGTAACACAATTCAATCTTCACCGAAGGACCGAACGGTACGGCACCATTTTCCACTAAAATTATTTTCCCACCGATACTGGGTGGCAAACGCGAGAATTTGCGCTGTCCTGCGCGCGAACGAGGAGAGCCTATGGGGCGGCCATGCTGCTATCCCCGCTTTGATGATGATGATAGCGCGACAATAGCGCCACTCGTAGGTCGATCTCGAGGCCAATACTGCATCTCACCATCCATAACTTGACAAAAGGCAAAAGCCCTGGAACTCGAATTTTCTTTAAACGAGCGTCTTTCAGCCTACGCTCTCGGCCCCCGCTCGTGTCGCTGAGCCAGCAATGGAACTGGACGGTTGCGGGGGGACGTGGCAAGTGTCTCCAGGAAGGAAGCTCATTTAGGAACCCGGGTTTGCACGAGCTGCGGAGGGGGCACTGAGTTTCTCTTGTGGCTGCAGGAGGGCCCACCTACGCCACTGCCTGGACAAGCTGAAGGAGATGGTGCCCCTGGGGCCAGACGCCAGCCGCCACACGACCCTGGGCCTGCTCAACAACGCCAAGAGCTTCATCAAGGTGGGCTTCCCCGCTGCCCTCGTCCGCTCGGCGCCTGGAACGCGTCTCTGACCGGTCTGTTGGGCGCGTTCCAAACCGTGGTCCCTCGACTCGTGCCCGACAACGTCTTGGAAGCGTCGGCCGCGATCCCGGTGGTCGCCCGGAAGACGGTGGAGGGAGCCGAGCCCCGAGGAGAATTTGCCTCGGCCTCCAACTCTTTGGCTCCGGCTCTTCCTCCGAGTCGAGACAAAGCCGTCCGTACTCGGTGTTGGAATGCATTGGAACCCGAATGCCAAATGCCCGAACGTGCTCGAATATTCAACGGCTAGCTTCTGCCTAGGGTCTTTAGGGACATTCGGGGGGCAGAGCGAGAAAGAAAAAAAAGCTACTCTTCGGTGAAAAGGGCACACATTTCTAGGGCTCTTTGTCGAGTAGTTGGAGTACTCAAGCGCCTCTCTCACCCATTCTGGAAAACCCAGGCAAATAGAGGAATACAAAAGAGTGCCCCGTAGGCTGCCGACATCGGACGCCGCCTTCTCTCCCCTCCTTGGGTCCCGTCACCCGAGAAAGTATTTACTCGAAACGTTTGTAAACAACAGCCGTTTGAATTCTACGCGCAGTGGTCGTCTGTACCTCGATCGGTGCTCATTTTGTCGGCGGAATGTCGCCGCAACATTGCTCTCGGAGTGTTTCACGAAAGATTGCGCACGCGCGATAGAAAATGATTCGACCGAAGAGTGAATTCGAGTGGCATAAGAAAACGTCTACGAAGCTGAATGCGAGGTAGGATTTATATTATTTTTGGCTTCACATTTGCACAGTTTTTACAGCTTCCGTCCGATTTCACCTCGTCGAAGAAATTCGAAATTGGAGTTGGCCGATTGTAGACTGGCACCATGATTGGATATATACAAAATCTGGAAGCCTGCTGTTGTGTTTGTGGATACCTTACGGTCGAGTGACCATATTCATCGGGCCCCAAAGCGGGACGCGTATCGGGGGGGAGTATTGTGTTGCGAGATTCGAAAAGTTTAAATTTTGGTAACAAATCATACCTTTTCATTATTTCATATACACCGTGCGCATTTCTTTTTCTGGCAATTTGCGTACTGTGTCGCTTGCAGCTATCTAATACATTTGGTTGGAATATTCCTTTAGTATTACCGTATTTATTTTTGTGTACCATGTCCATTATTTTTGTGTACCATGTCCATAGTACTGTTCACATGTCATAGGCCAATTGACCTTCAGCATCTTCTCTGTCGAGCATATCTCGTCCCTTGATCAGAGAAAGCACCCTCTCGCCGGTGCGATTCTAACCGAATCTTTCATCTATCCGCGGTTCGAGGAGCCAAAGCGGGACAAAAGGGCGTCCCACAAGCACGCTGGCGGGACGGCGGGACCACGGCCGGAAAAGCGGGACCCGCCTAAATCGGGACGTCTGGTCACCTTACGGCAGTCGCACTTATTTTGAAGTTCTTCGTGGACCTGCTATGCTAAAAATTTGAAAGACTAAAGTCACCCGCAATTTGCCAAAGAAGACTAAATTTTTTATCGCATAGTGGATTTACTCGGATGCTGCCTTAAGTTATGATCATGTTTGAGGAGCTATTCGTGGTAAAAATGGAGATAGGAAGAACCAAACGTGTTATATTGATTATTAAGAAAATCCTAGTTTCTCAAAATAACCAGATTCACTACTGGGAACAACACCGTGTCTTAAAAGAAATTACGCTAATTTGAAGGCATATAAAGGAATGTCCCTTTCGAATGTTCTCTCACGTTTCTTTGTAAAGTAATGGCGGTAGTTTAGTGAAAGGACTGTAGCAAGTTACTCTCAATTTTGTAACTAGGGTTACTTTTATGCCCGAGTAACACTGCCATGTTTTGGCAGTAACGTGCCCACGACTGGAGCCGGGCCGGTCCTTCCGACACCCCGATGCGCGCGAGTGCACATGCTCGCTCAAACGAGCCCCTCATGAGCAAAGAAACGAGAGGCTATACCGAAGCTACACGGGCGACGGATACAAGTGACAGCTAAACCCGCCAATCATTAGCCCAAGTAGCGGCTCAAAGAAGCGCACTTCACACTGATTGACCGTGCAACGGTTACGCCCCTCGGGGAAAAACAAGAGCATGATGTCACGGCCCAAGGTTGCTTTGGCGTTTGAGCTGGCTACCGTTAAATGTTTTTCTGGTTCAGTTCCAAGATGGCGGCGTCGATTTTGGTTTGGCTAAAATAACAGTTTGGTGCAGGTTTTTCTTTTTGTTTCAGTTCGGCCGGACGCTCTGCTATAGACAGGTGTACCCCTGGTACTCTGTTACGCAGCATTACTAATTTCCCCCTTTATCTGTCTAGTGATGACTGTTTGTTCTCTTATCAAAGGGCAGACATTTCATTGCAAACCGCATTGTTTTCTTTAAAAATCAAACTGAGGGAACTTGTGCGGTGTATCAACTATGTGCAAAACGTGTACGAGTACAGACTGCAACATCTTGGGCAGATACCCGCGGAACTTTCAGAGGAACCAGACGTCTTCTCGCTGCCCGGCCGAGTCTCTCGAGGCCGGCTACCTTAAAACTGCCGCAATGCGCTCAAACGCTTATTTGGAGTCAATGCCCCAGCCGATTGGGATCCAGCTCTTGACAGCCACTGATGCGAACGGCAGAGCAAGCACCCTAGGCACCGGCGAAAGGACGAGCTCTGTAGCTTTAGTTATGGGGATGGTTCATGCCCCCTCTTCCAGTCTGCTTCGTGTTTTGTAGTCTCAAGCGGTGTACCGTGGCAAACAAATTTGGTGTCGAGTGCAGCTCCGACGGCGTCTTTTGCGTACTTGGGCTTTCTTGCGAAGATGGCCCCCTGGAAGCATTTGTGTCGGTCTGCGGGAGGACGGCCGTTCCCAGAAAGCCGACTCTGGGTTCACGGTCATTTCACATTGAAAAGTGTCGAGGGGCGTCTCGTGAAGCGACTCCTCGAAACGCCCGTCGTTGGGGAGGTCTGCCTACGTCTCCTTGAGCTTCTTTGGATCTAGGCCTTTTGGAAGTAACCGGCCCGCAGAACCTCGCCAGAGAGTCGGAAATGTGCACTCAAAAGATTAGCGTGCCTTTCGCATAAAAGCTAGCTCACACGCGTGTTTGATGGCGACGGAACGCAGCGTCGTGCTCCCCGAGACGCCGCCGCTATTGGAACGGCGTTATGTGAGCGAATTACGGGGATGTGCTCGGGCGGCAGTCTGGGGCGGCTCATTACAAATCTGGCAACCCACCTGGCCCCTCCCGTAAACGCCGCTTCGCGGTGGCCGACATCAGCGTTGCCGAATCTTGGGAAATTTCCCACATTGTGGGAAAAAGCCCGACAGCTAGGGAAAAAGGGAAAACAGATTTGAAATACACATTGAACGTGGGAAATATCTTAATAAAAAAAAGGCCTTCATTTTCTTATGTACATCGAAACAGAAAACAGAGTGCCACTAGCTACTCGGACATTTTGCTGTTTTGAAGAGCCAATCTAATTCAGCACGATTTCCATCGTCGTGTGCATGCTGCCAGCCTGCAGGTACAGCACTGCTGGTTGGCGAGTTTTCCTCGCCGCTAGCTACGCACACGCGTCCTCTGTCAGTGTGATGGGCATTTCACGGTGAATGGTGTTCCTTTCCCATCACAAAAAGGAGCGAGCGATTCTAGTGTAGCCGCTTGCCTCCATTTAGTTCTCCCCGTTCCTTCCACCAGTGTAAAGTGCGGAAAGCAGTGAAGGGGGGATGCCAAATGTCAACTTCTGCATATCGTACTTTATGCGATGCTAAGAGACCATATGCGAAATGTAGCACGCCAAGAACTCAGTCCGCCATCCTGGTAGCGACGAGCAAACGAAACCAATGACCCGACCGGCAAAGTCCCCGTGTAAACGAGCGGCCGCGCTTTGTGTGAGAGATGCAATGTCGATTGCTGCGTTCGGCTGCAGATGCAGCGATAAACCTTCGATTTGTGTGTGACGTGAACGGGGTTCACCCTTCTTCCTTATTTTTATTTGTTACTTAAAACGAAGCTCTTGGGAAAAAGAATCGGTGACAACGCGAAGAAACGTGCGGACGTTATCCTGCGGCGTGAAGCCATTTGCAACCATTGAATGGGGCCCTAACCTTCTGCACCACCAACCATAATTGAAGATGCGTGTATGGTTAACAGTGGTACAGTTAGGTTCGTCGCAGTGGTTGAAACTTCGATGTCGGCGGCGGCAAAAACTTGCGTTGCTCACGACGAATGAAGCAATGCAGGTGGGGTCAACCTCATTTCCCCATCTAGTTTTCTTTTTTTGTCGAACTTGAGGTAGAAATTTTGTTTTGTGCAACGAAGCTCGGGCGTGGTTTTGTGAAAGTCGATGCAGTTATTCTGCCAGGGTTGAACAAATCTTTATTAAGAGCGCAACATCCGTCAACTGTGCTCGAGGTCGATGCTATCTGAAACCAATTTTAGCCCTTTTGCATCGCTCGAAAAATATTTCCCCGGACAGTTTCTTTTAGAAGAACACGGAGCGTTCCATCAAAAAACCTCCCGCCAGTAACAACTAAAAAAAAAAAAAAAAAAAAACTAATCTTGAGTCATGTATTTGCGCGGAGCAGTATACCGCTCAATAGTACGACTTGAAGCGTATTCGCATCAGAAAAAAGAATGGAAAGTGTTCTCAAAGCTGAAAGGCAGGACGGCCGAGTCCTTTTGGAGGCCTGCGCAGACGCTGGCGACAACCCGCACTGTGGGAGCTTCCATAGCGAAGGCGTGGGACTTGGTCCGCCGCTTGGACGAGGTTGTTGCCAGCGTGCACGGGCCTCCGAGAGTTTTCTCAGACAGTTGCGGTAGGTTGTTTACGCTGTTCGTCCTCAGAATAGGGTCAGAAGGCGGAAGACAGTTGCTGCGCCATCGCACATTGCCCGTACAACTCTCTCCGATGCCTCCACCGTGCTTCGGTACCGAAGACACTTGCCAACATTAAAATGGCGACGCTCTCAGTGTTGTCAGACCACAAAGCCATTTTGCATAAGGTCTATTTCTACAAAACAAAAACATATGTGAGGTGTTGCTGAATCTAAAGGTACTTGGTGTCGTGCATATCTTGAAAACGACTTCTGTCACTAAAATGGTGTTGTGGGAAAAAATGGGAATTTTCTCCGCGGGAAAAACCAAAGTAACAGTGCGGCAACACTGCTGACCCCTAGGGGAAATGGTTGTTCACAATACGTGCGAAGGATTTGGAGCGCCGGGGTAAAAGGATGGTGGGCAGAAAGATGGAAGGCCAATGGGGAGCTTTTGAGGAGCTGGGCCAACGTGACGGGTGCCCGTGCAGATGCTGGAAGAGAAGGACCGCAAGAACCAGACGACCAAGGACCAGCTGCGACGGGAGCAGAGGTTCCTCAAACGGAGACTGTGCAACCTGGACGGTGCCTACGGCGAGGAGCGGCGCAGCGCCAGCGAGTCCGGTTCCTCGTCGCGCTCTTCCGCTTCCGAGACGGGTGAGTGGACCTTGTCGCGGCCACCGAAGGGTTTGGGAACGACTTTGTCCGAGCCACGCCCAGTTGACCAAAACGCCGCCAGGGGAAAAAAGGAAGTCGCTCCACTTGAGCTTTTCTGGTTTCCGACCTTTTCCCTCTTGCACCGTTGCCAACTGCTTCCTGGCTGGGCAAAGAGTGATTGGGAGCGTTAAGTCGGCGCTCCTTTACTCGTAATCCGATGCTCCGAGTTTCATACTCCGAGCGCCGGAACTAAACGGCGCATAGCGTACTGGAGCGCGACACACCGAGGCTGCGCTCCAAACCTACTCGAATGGATCCGAGATACCCTGGCGGATCGTGTCACGTGACAACAAAAATAGAGAAACGCTGGGTGTGGGTTGGCTTCCGATAACCACCTTTACCCTAGAGTTAGATCGAGTAAGTTTTGGAACACGGCCAGAAACTATCGACGGGCCACATGAGCTCATTCCGACCGTGGATACGGGTGGCACAAGCCGAAAATATTTCCAAGATAAATAAGTAGGCCCGCGTGGTGCGGCAGAGTCTAAAGCAAAAGAGACGGCGACGTTACGAAGTTTCTACGAACGTTTTAATATTCCTGAAAGGTTTGAAGACTCGCTTCGTGCACATATGTGGAAGGTTACCTAGCTTGGCCAATCTATTTATTGACCGTGCATGCTGTTGCGATTTAAATTAAAGACAGCATTCTTGAACCCGCTCGTCGACGCAGGAAACCCTCAAATCTGTCGGAGATTACCTGGTTCCATCGGTTTCGTCGCGCAGCGAGACGGAAGCTACGCCGATACCGGCACACCGTCGTTCGATAGCATGTCAGTTCGTTTTTAGGCGGTATGCACGAACCAACCTTTCTCGCAAATTATTCGCTGCAGCTGGGCTAGGTATTCTAAGCAGGGCAGCCGTCTTTTTATCACTTTCCTGTCGCCGAGCTATCGGCACGCTCGTTCGACAGATCAATTCGTTGTCAGGCAAGACGCACAAACAAACCTTTTCCTCGATGCTCACCAATGTTTCGGCTTTCAAATCAAAGTATCTTTATTCGCTGGGCTAAGCATTATAAAAAAGACAGAGTGGTCTAAATGTCTCCGTATCTCGACAACTTCTCCGACGCTGTGCAATCGGCACGCTACTGTTTGATAGATGAATTTCCTTTTCAGGCGAGATGCACGAACAAACCTTTTTCGGAACGCTAATTGCTGTCTTGGCTTTCAAATCAAATCGTTTTTACCTGCTGGATTAAGCACTAATCAACTGAAAAGGGGCAGCGCTGCTGTTGAGATCGTCTCGACGATCTCAACAGCAGCGCAGCCATCTTGTTTGTTTACGTGACGTCACGGAGTGCGAAGAAGTCCCACGCGCTCCAAGAAATTCTGGGTGCACGAAGAGCACGCTTGAGTGTCAGTCTCTGGTGGCACTCCTGTCCGTTTAGTGGAAGGAGCGCCAAACTCTCGCGCTCCGGAGCACGGACCTAACGCGCCCATTGGGTACGCCAACTGCACTAGCGACTGTCGTCACCCCAGGAGAGTAAAGTTCCGAGAGAACGCCCCCCCCCAGGAGATCGCCCGTCCCGTTCTTCTGGCTAAATATCGGTACCATAAAAATTCCGAAACACCGCCCACTCCCCGGTTCCCGTCGGATGTCACGCGACGTCCGACGGGAATCGCATCTGCCACGTGATCTGCTGTACCGGTACGTCTGAGAAGTGAGTTCATAGCGGGTTCCCGCGTTTTTGTTCGCGATATCGGTTCTCGTGACAGGCAAGTTTGTAGCGGGTTCCCGCACGTTTATTGCACCATAAAATTTGCATGTGTTGCATCTGCGACTTGCGGTATTTTTTTCCCACAATAGGCGGGTCCTTTGCACAATAAGAGGCATATCTGCTGCGTCCGCAACCTGTGGCATCCTTTCCCGTGACATGGGAGTTTGTGGCGAATTCCTCCGTGATAATTGCGTCGTGAAACACGAATTTGCGGTGTCTGTCATCTAAAGTATCAGTTCCGGCGTCGCGCGGTTTGTAGCGGGTGCCTCGGTGTTTATCATGAATGTTCTATGAAGTTTCGCTCTGGCATCCCCCAAGATAGCCCACCCCATGTTTTTCACCATTCATTTCTTCATTTGGAGTGGGCGTTCTTTCGGAATTTTTGGTAAGCGGAGCCGACGAGGAGCAACCCCGGGTTTCTCCCCTTCCTTGACCTAGGGTCGCCCGGGGGGGCTCCGCGGGTCGGTTTGTTCTCGTGTAAAGGACGGCATGCGTCGCTCCGTTTACGGAGGTCCGGCGAGCACTGAGCCCCGATGCGTTCTTGCAGACGAAGTGGACATCATGGGCTTCAACACGAACCAGAGCGACTCGGACGACCACAGCAGCATCCAGAGCGTGACCAGCGACGGTGGGGTGGCCATCTCGACCAAGAGGCTGTGCCTTGCCGAGGGCGTCTAGGCCTCCCCCCCGCGCCCACCGGCTCCCGCAAGCAATACGCCCCCACTACCGTTAGGGCCACACGTTGCACACTCTTCCTTCCGACGCCCCCGAGACGCCCCGGTTCGCTCTTTTTTTGCCTCCCCCTCCTCTGGATTGTCTCGGAGCACCCATTCCACATCCGAATTATTCGACGCCTGGGGACGCGTTTCCGAGAGGGGCGGTGGAAGCGTTTGGTTTGGAGGTTTATTTATTTGGAATACACGCAGTCCGTAGTCGAAATGTTTGTCTCAGTGCTACTCGTGCCCATTTGTGCGTGTCAATAGCGCGTGTGTGTGTGATCGGCATTGGTACGGGAGAGTTTGGTTTCTTTAGCCGAGGCAAGAGGGCTCTTTTATGCGACGGGAGCTTTTGCTCCGCTGTCCTCATTCTTGTTTCGGCTTTTGTCTCCAAAGAGCGGAATGTTGCGCGTTGTCTCGGTCCACTCGTGGAACTGCTGCGGCTCTTTGCTCGCCAACCGTCCTCGCGTTTGGAAGATTCTTTGTGGCGTCTGGGGCTTGCGTGCCACGTTTTTATTCGGTTCGGGTGCATTCTGCCCGTCCACGTGTTTTCTCTCGAGGTAAAACGAGCCACATCTTATGCGTTTGCATTCTCGCGTGACCCGCTGCAAAAAACTGAAAGGGAATCGATTGCATTCTCTCCAAAAATGCTCGGCTGCCCCGGAGTCTTCATTGCGGCATCTGGCAACATTGTCTCTGGGAATGTGGCGGGCGTAGAGGCCATGCCCAAACCATCTCTTGTAGCTCTCCCCCAGGTTGCACTCGGGCGTTGCACGCTGGGGACCTTCTGCTGTGGCTGTCGTTCCCCATCGATGGGCAAGAGCAGCCCCGTGTGGGGATTCCCTCCCCGCCCACAAACCAGCCCTTTTTTGGCCATTGCCGAGACGGTTGGAGGGGATCCCTCCCTCGGGCAGCCGTTTGAAATGGCGCTCCATTCGTTTGGGAAACCCAGAACACGCGAGCGTGCATGTGCGTATGAATGTGGGCATTATTCCCCCAATGGCACGCTGTCCCCAGGCATTGTGGTGTGTCTTGTTGGAAAGCAGATTTTACTTTTTCACTCCCGTTCTTTCCAGCTTTTTTTTCTTTCAACTTTACATCGTCGTTTTTTCACCATTTTTCCCGTCCATCTATACGAGGCGGGTGTGTCACCGACGACTCGAGAGAATTTTACGGAAAGGGACTCTGAAAGCGAAGAAATAATTCCGCGCTGGGCGTTGGAGCATGGATGAAAATTGATAGTGATCTACTTAGGTAGGATCCGCTAATTAATTTTTGAAATATTCGATTTATCGGGCAGATTTTGATTAGAGATTTGTTGCCTATTGTCCGCAGATGCTAAGTGAAAAAAAAAAAAAAGACTTTTCAGTGTCCGACCTTGCCGAAGGGGAAAGAGCAACGAAGGCTGCTCTACCGAGGAGACCGAGCGTGGCGCACCTCTTCTACGACCACGCGAGGTAATGCGACTCTGTCGGAGCCACTGACTACCTGCTGCGGAGGGCGGCGCCACTTCGATTTGCACGCATATTCCGTCTCGTAAGTTGTCCTTAGTGCTGGCACGGCCCTAAGCGCGTTGTCGACGCGCTTTTGATGCGCGAGCGATTGTGCAAACGAGGCAGAAAACAAACAGCGCAAGGACAGAGTAGAAGGCGGTAGACACACACAGCGCTGTGTGTGTCTACCGCCTTCTACTCTGTCCTTGCGCTGTTTGTTTTCCGCTAATATGAATGACCAACTAGCCCAATCGTCAACACTACCAAACGAGGCATTCTGCGGGACTTGGCTCCGGTGGCTTTGCCAGCACCAAAAACCACTCGCGAGATGGAGTATGGCTGCGACATCTGCCCCCACCTTGCTTAGCCAAAGAATAGCGGGGGGCAGATCTTAGTCGTCGGAATTCAAACGACGACCGGGACATATTTTGGCGACGGGCAACAGATTGGAATGGGCCTACAAAGTCCACTATCTTGGAAGTTAATTAGTAGACTTTAGGTAATTTACTAGTTATCACTGTACGCTCCTCGTTTTTGCGGAAGAATTCTTTTCTTTGGAGTGCCCTTTTTTTTTTACAAATGATGGTCATACACGATGGTCGTACGTGCTCCCGGACGCGAAAGTCCTTGGGACGGTTGCAGACGCCGCCAGTGAGAATCTCGGTCTGGCCTCCGGTGCAAACCCCGGCCACTTTTGCTTTGGGTGGCCCCTCTTCTTTCTTGCCCCGTGACTTTTTCTTTTCCGCCCCCGAGGGTAAAAACAAGCGCACAAGAGGCAGTCATTTTTCGAGGATCTCGAGCACACTTTGCGATGTTCCTGCACATCTAATTGTGTAAATTTTGTTTCGCCCACCCGTACGCTACGTGTTTAGAACCTGACTGTAACAAATCTGTACATAAAATGATAATATATATATTTATTTATAATGTCTCGAGAAGCAACTTGGAGGCAAGTACAATGCGAAGGTCTTTTGTTTCCGGTGCCCCGCTTTGTGACGAGTGTTTGGGTGCGCTCCCCAGTCCCTCCTTGGGAGGACTCCTCCACCAATAAGACCCTCTCTTGCTGTACATACGCCACTACGCCCCGTTATTAATATTTCCTAAAATAAAATGTTATTTCACGTAACAGGCTCGTCTTTCTTGTCTCGGAGAGCCTCGGTTCTCCCATGGGCTGGCACGCAGCCGTGGGAGATACAAAGGTTGCACGGTTTTCTCTTTTCGTATTTGGATCGAGCGCTTGCTGCGTAGAAGGGCGCGATGGAGCCAAGATTCACCTAAAGATGGACATGTTTAGTCGCTTGGAAGAAGAGTGGACGAAGCAGGCGCACAACGGAAGGTTCATTGAAAACAACGTACAATTAGCCCCACCTGGCTGCTTGCTTAGGGAAGAAGAACTGCTCATCTGTCGCGTGGTGACGGCGCCCTGTTACACACGCTCTCGCCTTGCTGTCTTTGGTTCCATGCACCGATGGGCTTATCTTCCTACCTTCATTTTTAGTGGACTCAATCTTTCTATTTTATGAACAAATATTTTCGCCCAGAATGCAAGTCTGGAGAGAAAACGGCGTAAATTGTCGAGAGGTGGGCAGTTAGGTGCGCTGCCAGAGTGGTCCCGTTTGCCTCTAAATTACGTAGCTCTTCGTAGAAACAATATGGGTGCGGATAAGTCATATTTTTATTTGTTTATTTCGATACCCTCGGGATGTTGCACAGGGGGTGGGTACAAGCTGTCTCAAAAGTGCATAAACGAGTTATAATTGCGAGAGAAAATTAAGTATTGTCTAAAATGCGATGCAAGCAGGCACTCCAAATAGAAGGCTGGCAGGTAAAGTGCCAGTTGGAGACGCAGCTCGAGGTCTTTATTCATTTCTAAGACACGAGGCAGAAAAAGGGCAGAACGAGAGCACTTGACAGATCCAAACTGAAAACAAACTTTTTCTCAAAGGGAGCCGGGGAAATCCTGTTCCCTTCTATGACAAACTCTTGGCAGCACTAGCATTAAATTGGCTCGGCCGCTCGACGAGCTTGCGACTTCCGCGTCGTAATAATGAATTCACAAAATGGCAAAAATGCTCCTAAGATGGATGAACTTGAAAGAGTTTGGACGAGCTCGACCGTGCCACACCCCAACCCGTTTGTGCACACACCGAGGGAAGCCACGACGGGCACGGAACGTGTCCGCGGATGCCACATTGGGGGCCACTGGAACTTGGACTTTTTTGGCACGTCGACGATACTCCATGTGGGATCGAGATGTCGCAGTGCTTCCGTCGTGATGTAGTAGCCCAGAGCGCTTTGGCCGTGCCTAGACAGTGCCAATATGGGCCACCTTTCAACGGAGAGTATCGGCAAAGCCCCACGTCTATTGGCGTAGGCTTACACCCAGTGCCAAGATTGAGATAGGACTTGCAGTCTAAGATATTGGCTACCGACCAAATCTATGCGCCAAAGAAATGCGACCGTCTTACGCGCACCATTAATTGGACCGCTCGTTCGCAAGCACTGGATCTCTTTGGCCAGATTTGGAGTTTGGCAAAAGCAGACGTTGGGAATGCAGTCTCTGGTTGCCAGCTCGCATGCCGCCATTAGGTCGTCTGGTGCCTTTGGCGTCCCATGCTGCCCGCACATCACGAGCCAGTTCCCAAGCGGCAAACAAAGGACAATGCGCCAGGCGTTGTGTCCCACGTCGAGATGTGGCGACCCAACCCCAGGTTGTGGGAGCTTGCCTCGACTGTCGAGCTAGCATCTCCATCCCAAGCACCACGACAGCTCTAAGGCGGACCGCTTTTGAGGAGGCAGTGTTCGGGGCACTGTGCCGCCACTCGAGTACAACCCAGGGCTGTGCTGGTTGTGTCCTCTGGCCGCAGACTCCTCGCCGCCCCGAGTCACCCTCGAGTCCGTCGTAGTGTCCGAGGAAGAGCTTGTACAACTGTTGGCTCTTGCCGCCTGTGAACCCATGGCTCACACAAAGCAGTCTATGAATGGCACGCAAATGGCGGCCGACCGGCCGATGGAGTAGAACCACCTCGTGCCATTTATCGAAACACGGGTCGACCATTTCGTAGCAAAGCCACGTTTACTGGGACCTGGGCGTCTACTTTCATGCAGAGCGGGCACAAAGTGAACTGTTGCAGTTTAGAGACAAAACTTTAATGGTGCTTGCGGCCCAAAAAGTTGCTGTGCTAAGGGCCTGGAACGTGCCTCCAACTGCTGCGTTTAGCATTTGGTTGTGTCCAAGACACGACAACAAATGACGTCGCAAAAGCCAGAGTGAAGTCCCTTGGATGTCGTGATCCTAGCAAATAAAGTCCCGTAGAAAACAAAAACAATGAGATTGTCGTGGCGTTCCGACTCCTGGCTGCCAGGGCCAAGAGTACACCGTCAAGCTGGCGAACGACTGTCTCCCGCACCCAGCTCCACCGCTGCGTCACCATTGCAGCAACACTTGTACAACGTCATGGGGTGAAAATCGATCCGGGCAGCGTACGCCATCTCCAAAAGCTAGCCGAGAAGAGCCCCTCACCCGAACCAGCAGGTTGTGTTGCAACACACTGTGCTGCAGGGAGGCCACAACAACTTTGTCCAAACAACTACAACTGTTCAACCTCGCGTGATTACGTCTGCTTGCGGCCATGGTCCGTCGCAGACGACGGGGGGAGAGTGCAGAGGTGGCCGCGACAGTCGGTTCCACGAGGACCCCATGTTGTCAGACTTCCTGCCAAGATGCCGCCCCCGGACCTAGAAGCAACCAATTACAGTAAAACCTCGTTATTACAAAATGGGATTTAACAAACTAATGGATATAACGAAGCAATCATAATTCCCCTTGCTCGCTAATAGTGGGAAGAAATGGACATTGGTTATAACAAATTAATGGTTATAACGAAATAATTACGACCGCTCTTTCAACTTTGTTATAACGAGGTTTTACTGTATGGACACCCCCAGGATAAAGCCAACATTTGGTTACAGAGGTGGGACCGATTGCTCGGTGCCCACATTGCGGATGAAGGCATCTTTAGGACATGCTAAGAGTGGAAGCTCCCAGCTTCAGAAGCTGCTTCAACTGCCTTATAGTACCCATGCACTGCAAGTTCGGCGATCTAGCTTTTCCGCTGTTTACGGGCAAGCAAGGTAAGTTTCAGTTCAACGTGGTGTGGTTACATTGTGCTCAGCACGACCATGCCCGCATTAAATATCGCCAATGTTTCTTCCTTGGGGCCATAACCCGACAGTCAGGCACACAACAGTAGCGGCCCATAGCTCGAGAATCTCGGCTGTACCCGGGTGCCAAAACACGGCGAGAAATGCGAGTTTCGTCCCGCCATATTTGTCTGCCTCAAGCAAGTTGAGCAGCAAAACGAAAAGCAAGTGGGACGTTTCGCAGACGACTTGACATTACCAGTCGCTCGCCTGGTTTGAAAAATGCATAAAACTTGGAAAAAAATGTTGATAAACAATCGCGCGCTAATTCGTGAGGATTTAGTTAATTCTACTTTAAATATCTCTGGCAGAGAAGCCGCCAGGAAGCAGGTTTTAGTGACTGTTTCTCCACCTGCCGGTCCTGGAACTAGCTTAGACTAGAGCAGAGCTTTTGCACGATTTATGAGATCAAATGTACCTACGAGAAATGCTCGCTTGTCACTGGGCGTTCTGGGATAAATCCGATCAACTCGGAAACAGCCAATCGAGGAATAAATTTCGTCGGAGCACAGGGCTTTCGAGTCGAGGCTAATTCAGTTTTATTTCTCTCGGACGATTGAGAAAAGGAAATTCAAGGTTCGTTCAGTACAATCCACCAACAGACTTTTCCAGTTTGTACTCCTTCCAGGGAAAACAGGTTCTGTTTTCAAAGATGGGTCAACAATGGGAACCTGTAGGTTTCCTAGTAGGAGGAGGCCATGCTCAAGGTTTTTACGCTGCTTTGGTTATTTGAAAATATTGCCTTGTATTTTCAAGATTTGTCCTGGGACAGTTATTACTGTCCCAGGACGAAATCGAAAGTCGCCGGTATCGAAAGAAATATCTTTCGATACCGGCGACTTTTTTTTTAATGAATTTAAAGTATGTTTTTTAATTTAATTTTGTTAAAAAGTGAGAACAAAGCTCCAAATTTCGGAGAATTGGGAATCTAACAAAAATAACCTTGAATTTCCGGGGAAAAATAAAACTCAAATAAACACCTTCCCACAAAAAATAAACTCTGAACACATGAAATCCTGCTTCTAATATTGTGGGAAGTTTTTTGAGCCAAAAAATGAAGAATGAAAAAAAAAGACAGGAAACATATGTGGGGACATGCAGAGTGTTCTCGTTGCAAGGGATATTAAGGGGATGCTGAGCCAAACTCTGGATTCCACAAAACACGCGGCAAAAGCGTGCAACGGGATGCCACAAACACCAAAACATCACTCGTACAGCGATATCTCGAATGGATGACCCTATCTTTTCAAGAAAAGGAGGCGCATTTGGCAGGAATGTTCACGTCATGTTTCTCCGAGAAGGAACGGCCTCGCGTCTTCTCCGCGTCGCGGCCTTGAGGGAGCGAAGAGAGGAGGAAGCTAGGTATCTTCACGGTCACGCGTCTCGTTCAATCTCGACCTCTTTTTCCAAAAATATGGCCGTCCATTCGAGATATCGCCGTACGAGTAGTGTTGTAGGGATTGTAGCGTCCCGCCTACAGCTCCTGCATTATTTTCTGAAATCCAAATTTCGGTTCACCGTCCCTTTAGGAGGTTGGAGGGCACATGGTCGATAGCAGTCACAAGCGTTGGAACCAGCCTTCACATCGGCAGAAAGAAATCCCCAAGACCCACGGACGTCCGGTCGTTCTGGCCGCACGGGCCAAGTTGCAATGCCGTTCCCCGTTGTGCAAGCAGGCGACGTTCGCCCGCGATAGCGCTTCGTCCCGGACGGGACCCACTGCAGTGGCCCAGCCAATGGGAACTCTTTGCAAGCACCCAGAAGGAGCCCAAGACTGACCACACTGGAAAGGGCCTTGTTTTGATGGGGAAAAGCCACGCAATTGACACCAAGGCGGTTTGTGCAGGCGAGTGATCTGGTCAGGGGGTCACCTAGCTGTGTTTGGAGATTTGGGCCTGTCCTTCGCCCCCTGGAAGGAACAAAATCTGAGACATAACATTTTGACGCCTAGTAGAGAAAGAAATGTTATCGGGGACATACCATTGGTAAGAGCTGGCACTGGGTTCCCAAACTTCCTCGTATCATTCTGGCTCTGCGAGTGAAGAAAGTGCCATCGCCTTTAATCCAGGTAATGCTTCGGAAGGCCCAAAGGAAAAACCCCCCCCAATAAAGCCAATTTTAGGACTGACCCGACGTGACAGATCCAAGATGGCTGCTAGGCTCTTCATCCTCTTCAACAAATTCTGCTGGCTCTGGAAATGCAGGGATGCCACAGCAACACATTAGCTAAAACACCATGAGATCCTAAAAGGACACTTAGCTCGAGATGCTACCAGTTAAGCATAGACATCGACATGTCTATGCTTAACTGTCTCGACAGAAATGCCCTCGATGCACTTTACTAACGACAAATTAAGAAAAGCACCGAGGGACACTTTAGGTTATGCTTAGGCTGTATACTTTCCGGTTTTAACCGGAGAACACCGATAGACATGACGGAATTAAAAATCATTGAAAAACAAACTAAAAAACGCCGGTTTCTTTTTTCCTAGCAATGTTGTTTTTTCATTGAAAAAGTCCTACGCGTCATTCTCTTCCCCAGAATCACGCAGCTTGCCCGTCTTTCTTTTCTCCACATTGCGACTCGTCAACAGGAAGGAATGACAGACACCAGCCTAGAACGTACGCGTGCATATACTACAATTATCAAGTGGGAAACTTGGACATTACATTTGAACTGTTTTTCCTCCTCAGTGGTCGTTAACATTCCCAATTCTTTCCCTCCATAATCACCCTTTTTAGTCTGCACGACTGAATTCACCAAAAAGCTCCGGTTTTCTAGAAACAAATGAACACCGATAAACATCCGCCGATTTTTGTAATAAATAAACGCCGGAAAGTATACACCCTACTTACGCTGAAATTCCATAAAGCTAGAAGACACCTGAGGCAATAATTTTTCTATGTGCCCTGTTCAATTATCTTTGGAGTCTGTTATGCATTTGGCATGTTTTAATACTCTATCAAAATATCGTTGGTGCAATATTAATTGCATCAACTTTGTACAAAAAGCTTTCAGCCTTTCCACCCTGGTGAAGAAGGAAGGCCAGCGGAGCTGTACTATGCTGGGGCGACCTCAAGGATGACGCCTAGGATGACCTCGGGGACGACGTCTAGGACGACCTCAGGGACGACATCCAGGACGACCTCGAGGAAGACTTGTAGGACAACCTCGAGGACGATGCCCAGAGGACGTCGTCATCTAGGCACGGTCTTTGAGGACGACTTCTAGGACGACGCCTAGAGAAATTCAGCCGTTCCACCCTGGTGAAAACCAGAGCGGAAAGGCTGGAAAGGCTGCCGCCATCTATGAGCAAGGCCGGTTGTCTGGTTGCTGCCGTTGCTCATAGATGGCGGTAGCTGTCCAGAGTTCTGTGGCGAGATTTATTAGTCCACAAACAGGAAACTGAGGAAACTAGCCCTTAACAGCTCGGCTATAAAACATTAAGAGACATAGATCCTTTTAAGTATTTCATATTAAAATGTACTAGCTTATTTTGCTCCAAAATTCTGCAACACAAGACAGCTAGAAATCACCTACACCCAGTGTCTTTGGGAAAAGATGGAAATTTCAGGTACGAAACAAGCTTCATCGTAAATTGTTACCCGTTATTTGCACAAATGTTATTTTAAAAGAATATTTTGTGCCATGAGTCTTATGCTGCGGTTTTCTGTGGCTAGACTTCCATCAAGAAAGAGCAGCAGTCCTTCTGTAATGTAAACCAACTCGTTTTTGAGAATATCGCAACTTGAAATAAAACGCAAAACATTTATCCCGCAAATATATGGTACTTAATGCACAACGTATTGCTCCAAATCGAGAAATTTCGTGCTCGCAAATTATCTTAAATCTGCACTTTGCAAAATTCACACAAAAATCTGCCTGCTAACAAAGTCGCTCACAATATATTACTCTGGCTTCTCAAGTTATAGTGTTACTGAATTATAACAACTCTCGATGAACACAAGAAGCTAGAAGCTAAAAAACCGAGTCTTGTTCATAAATCTAGGTTGTCAATACATCTAATCGCCTTCTTTTATAAAACGAGTAACTTGCACCAACAAGTTTTTGTTCCTGTCCCTGGCCCCATAACAGTTGACCACGATGCATCCACATCCTAGAAACTATTCAAGAAACGGGCTGGTCCCATTTTGAGCACTTGTGCATATGCCTTGCATGCATTACAAAGCAACAAACATGTGTCTGCCGGATTTTGATAATCACACGCTGGGCTGCCACTTTGTGAGCATTGCCACGTGTTCCAGCTGTTTCATTGTAGGAACCTCAAATGCTTCCCTTAGTGCTAGATTTAATTCGAAAACTGCTCGTCCAACAACACACCCGTCTTGATGGCAACAGCCGTCATTGCAGTGCTGCCGCTCGAACCGTCCAACTCTGCAAGAGGACATGGCAAGAGGCTGCAATTAATACAAAGTTACGCACTGGAAACAGCGGTGTGATTGACGTCTAATTCAAAGCACAGAAGCGCTTTGCCGCCCTTAATAATGCAATGATCCCGTTGACGCTAATATGCTAATGCAGTTTCTCAAAAGCTCTTCATGAAGAGAAGAAAAGTCTTCCGTTGTACAGCCCATCCAACTGTCGGCCACGCAGGATAGACATCAAGGTACAAGTTCACCCGGAACCTGTTCCAATATATACTCCACCTCACTTTAGGGTAAAGGTTTCGCACTTTGGGGTTTGAAAACCTATTCGCACCCAGCGTTGCTGTGTCTTGTCATGCGACAGGAGCAGCCAGAGAATCAATTCGGTCTAGCCTTCGCCGGAGTGGCCCCACTTTGTCGGGCAACCAACTCATCCCGCGCATCGGAGACAAAACGTGCGAAATATCACGAAGGATGCACCAAAGAACAGATCAGATTGTCAAGAGACCACCATGAACTGGTTTGCCAGAGAGCCCACAAAGGAGAAGGAAGTTTGTGGGCTTTCCTCAAAAGCTTCCGTGCCCAAATTAAAAAAAACATCGCAGCTCGATCATGCTGACAAAGATCAGTAAGCAAAAAATCTGCGCTTATCGGGCCTGTCGCCGATTGTTACGGTGCGATTAGCTCAAAGGCCCATCACGCCGTGAAAGTAAAACGAGACGGTGGCTCTCTTCACTTGTATGTATAGAGAATGTTTGAACGAGGAAGCAGGCGACGGCGCCTGACCGCCCAATTTCCAGACCTCACTCCTACGGAGGCGCCCCTCCACTTCCTCGAGGAAGGGGCTGGCGCTGGCCAATCGCGACAATGGAGGGGTGGCCACGATTGGCCAGTGCCGGCCCTCGCGCCTTCCTCGAGCAAGTGGACTCGGGTTTGTCAATTGGCTGGGAAGAGATGGCTTTCGTGCGTTCCAAACGCCGTCCCTCCACAGCACAGGGGGCACAGCACTTGTTTCACAATCTCAAGCTGGTTAATTCAAATCCTGCCAGGAACTCGAGTGTTTTTATACGGTCACCTACGGGCTTTTCCTTACAGCAGGCGGTTACTGCCAGCCGTTACACTAAAGCTTTCCCCCTATATAGAAATCAATAAAACACATTCAGCAACGAAAAGAACAGCGTGGCTACGCACCCGTCCCCGTGGAAACTGCTTCGCTCTGGACTTGTGGCAGCTCTGCAAGTGATTCGGACGTTTAGAATGGAGCCCTAAAATGCCACCCAGACAACCGACCCATCTTAAGAGCCACTGCTGTGCCGCCCCGTCGTCGAGTCTCTCGGGAAACCTCTGGCTCTGCAAAGAACCATTTCGCATTCAACTGGCTGCCGGCGATGGAAGGCCAAAATTACGAGAGTGCACACCTGCATTGAAGTGGAACGTGACCGTGGTCCCATCCGTGGAATCTGGCCATTCAAAAGGGAGAAACGAGGCTATGTGCATACACCTTCCTAGCTACAAATGCTATCGGCAACGTACCCCAAGCGGCGCAAGAACATTCAGCGAGCATCTACGCAATATTGCTCGCTAATACTGCCAATATGCGGTTCTTCCCGTCCACACGACGTCTAGACAACATCGTTTAAAAAGCGGGGCAGTACCGGCACAATATCGCCGGAGTAGCGCCACCGTCGGCCGAGTACCCGCCGGACGTCGAGTACACTCGAACCCACTTGTAACGATCCCACACATAATGACCTATCGGTTATAACGAACAGCTTTCAGAAAATATAGGAATTCGAGGCCCTACTCATTAAAACTGGTCCAGATAAAACGACCGTTTTTCAAAGCATCATACTGTTACAACAAACACAAAATCCACTTTCGAAAAAAAAAAGAAGAAGAAAAACAAGAGATAAAAACATTTTGGTCGCTCCGGGAGACGCTCCAGGTAATTTCCGCGGCTGCGTAGCAGGGCAGCAAACAAAACTACAAAAGCAAAAACGCCCTCCCAAGTCGCGATGGGGTGTGCGTGGGAAGAGGAGGAGAAGGAGCGAGTCAACGCCGTGCTGCTCGGTGCAAGGTGGCCGGCCCCATCACCATCGTGACCGTTTGTTTACGTTCGCCATTTTGGTATCTGCATTACGCACATTCCCTCGCGTCTCGTCTCTGTCGTTTTAAGATTGGGGGGACAAAAAAATCCACTAGGAGGTTTTATTTAACGAAAGGGCATCACGCTGGCGGAAAAAGATGACAACAGAGCAGCACTGCGTGGCCTCGGAATCCCAGCCACCCGACGAGCTCGCAAAGTGTTTGAAAGACGACCCTGCCAGAGGCCACAGCCGCGCGCTCGTACGTGCGCAAGAGGCGCGGCACTTAACACGCTTTAGACCAAAGCAAGTATTAATTACCTGCATGGACAGGGAAGAACCATCGTCGGACTGGTGCACGGCATTTCTTTTTGTGTTGTGTGCATTTCATAAAATCTGTTCTATAAGGTGTGTGGTCAACTTCATTATTTTACTTGCACGCTAAAATCGGCAGCAATATACTTTTTGATTATCCGAAAGCTAAATCTTCCTGCGCATTACGATTGGGGGCGCGTTGGAATTGTGCAAACAGTTCCTTTAAATAAAGAGCTGGCAGACTGAAACTACCAGTACCAGCTTCATTATCCTTATTTATAACGTTTTAAAGGTCCTTATTTATAATGCTTTAAAGGTAAGTCCAGATATAACAAACTACCGATAAAACTACCACTTTTGGCGGAACTATTGCGTTCCTTATAAGTGGGTTTGACTGTATATCTATAGAGTACTAGCAGCGTCGACCGAGTGCACTTTGGACATTGCGCGCTAATCCAAGGTCAATCGAGTCGGGCAGTGTCGTCGGAGTACCCGCCGGATATCGCCCGTATATCCATAGAGTACTTGGAGCGTCGGATGAGCATTCACCGGGGGTCGCGTATGCCAATTTTGTACTTACAATGTCGTCCGAGCAGCCACCGGATATCGCGCGTATGTCTATAAAGTACTTGGAGCGTCCGCCAAGTATCCGCCGGGCATTGCGTATACGTGTTCAGTATTGGTGCAATACCATGGTTTGCGCGCTTATTAGAGAGTTTTCGTAGACTGGGTTTGCAGCTCCACCAATGCTAGATCGGTCATCTATGCCTGGGCATGGGGCACTGCAACCAACATGGCTGCCGTCTTGGCTGCGAACCATGCCCAGGCGAAACTATTCTACGACCGATCTGGCGTTAGCGGAGGTGCAAACCCGGTCTACGAACGCTCTCTATCGATAAGCGCGCAAACGCCGTATTTCGTCGACACCAAGTGCCGAATGATGAAGCAATATTGCTTTCTCACTCGGCGCCAACGCAGCGCCTCGCGCTTGCGGTGCAAGGCCCCGCAGAATGCTTTCCAAAGTATTCTGCGACGCCTTTGCGAGCTCGGAGCATTCGAGAATTCGGCTACAGTAGCTTTGCCAAAGTAGTACAAAAAGGTAACGCCGGCCATCCACCCGGCCAAAATCGCTACCAGCCCATAGGCCAATGAACTCACAAAGTATGTGCTAGACAGAGATATTTTCCAGTATATTTAGTTTCTAGGTTGGAGGGACGGTCCCAACTATTTTTATCCGTTTGAGTGCTCGAACAACCGATGCTGAAAATCACCGAGCCTCTTGAGACTCGAACCTCCAGCAAGCTATATACATCCAAGTCGCTACTACAGGATTAGCGTAATGACTGCCATTAAAAGTGAAACTGACCATCCTGAAGAGCCCTGTTTCCATTGCCCCTCTCCTTGGCCTCCTTGGCCCGGGCAGGGGCGCCAGCCAGGTAGCGACCAACTGCCTTCTCCACACTGTCGCTGTCCTGCCCCGTTTTCTCCTCCACAGCAGCTGCAACAACACATTCACTCTTCACAAATACCCTAAAGTCATCACGCTAGCTTCTGCCATTCCGTTACAATGTTTGACAAAGAGCAGGAGTCAGCAATATGCAGACTTCATTTGTAAGCTCAAGGAATATCCTGAAGCGTTAAAAGAAGGCTCAAGGTAAGCTGGTCATCATACGAAAACTGGAGAGAATTAGTCCATCATCAACCCCCAAAAGTAAACCTCAAGGCGGCTTCCTCGAAATCGGTACAACCCAAAAAATTCCTAGGTGAGCTTTCCTAACTCGTGAAATGTTTCGATACGCCCCATTTTGAAATGAACTTCCGCAATACTTATAAAATATATTGTGTTTTCTAGAAATGGTACACATAGATGCATCCACTCTCGCAATATCGGCCCAAATAAATGCTCATTTCTTTACCGTGACCGAAAAAACGCGGAAATATTCCGGACCCGAGCAAAAAAATAGAAAAACCGGAAAAACAAGCTCCGAATTTCGAGATGTACATAGACCGGCAACATTTCATGGGTGCCGCCATCTTGACGTCACGTGACCCTGCCACCATAGCCGACCTCCAGTTCCGTTGCTCTGCGTTGCGTGCTGCACCGGCCACCACGGTGAGAAATCTCCGTCACTCGTCGTTGTCGGTCGTCTTGTCGCTCGCTAAAGCACTTACATGCGGTTCGGCTTTTCCTTACGGAAGGGATGTCTGAAGTGCACATGTGTCGCAACGGTGTTGACTGCCCTTGATTAGCGACAAAAACGAAAGAATGGGATGAAGCCTAGAAGCCTAGGCTTGCATCGTCGATCCATTCGCTGTCCGATTCCATTCCCCAAATAAGAAAATACGAGAGCCGCGTTAAAATATAGATATCGAATGAAAGCCCGAAATATCGAAAAGACCTAAAGGAAACACTCAACGTGGAACGTAACAGAACAGGAAGCTGCGGTGGTGGCCGGTGCAGCAGGCAACGCGGAGCGACGGAACTGGAGGTCGGCTATGGCGGCCCGGAAAGCGGTGGCAGCTCGAGCAACTGACTCCCTGAGAATCTCTACGCTGAACCCTAGGGACAAGGAGGCAATGGCACCTACAACGTTTCAACGACCTAGAGAAGGCCAACGAGGGGACAAACACAAATCTCCAACAGCTACGCTCTTAAAAGGGCCCGTGCGTCTACTTTCCCACGCAGCACTCGGAGAGCCAATCACCGCAACTTACGGAGGCAGCTCGGCGAATGACAATGCCCAAACATATGTTTAGACCAAAAGATGCAGTCTGAGTTGCGACATTAAGCAATGCTAAACGTCACGCTTCATTACTTTATGTCACAACTCGGACTGCGTTTTTTGGTCTAAACATGTTTGGGCATCGTCATTGGCCGAGCTGCCTCCGTAAGTTGCGGTGATTGGCTCTCCGAGTGTCGTGAGGGAAAGTAGACGCACGGGGTTTTCCGAGTGTAGGTGACTGGTGCGCAGCTGAAACATCCGCCTGGCCCCGATGTTTTCAGCCGCACACCAGTCACCTGGCTGTTGTTGGAGATTCCCTAGCAGAAAAGCAACTTGTATGAGAAATTTCTTGCGTCCAATAAACACGTACGAATCATACATGATATTTAAGAACCATATAAGCATTATATAAAATATATAGGAACATATAAGAAACTTCTCGCAAGTTCCTTATATATCTTGTATGATTCGCGCGTTTATTGAACAGAGAAATTTCTCCTACAAATGAGATTTTTCAATAGGGTTGTTTGTCTCTCACTCCCCTTCTCCAGGGATCGTTTCTTCTTATCCAGCTCGCCTGAAATAACCTTTGAAGGCAGTCAAGAATGAACAACACCGATTGAATTGGGGCTAGTTGGTTACGCATTTATCCTTTCAACTGCGCTGCAGGGTTGGGGCAACAATAAGATGGAGGCCAAAAAAAGTGTTTTTACGCTCCCTGGTAGCGCAAAAACGCATAGTGTTTGTCACGTTTTCAGTCTTCTTGTTGTCCCAAGTGTCACCCTGCGGTGCAGTTGAAAGCATTCAGAAGAAACAGATCGATGACATAGTGCCAGAGCTCCAAGTTCTGCCTCTAGCATACCTACTGCTTGGGCAAGCTTTACACTACAATTGGGCTGTGGACTTTCCGCTTTTAATTAAAAAAAAAAAGACGGATGAACATCTGACGGTGACGGAAATGCGAAATTTGTTAAAACCGAAAAACGATGATTTTGAGAAAATTTTATACTATTTTGGTGGGAACACTCCTTGAGCATGTTTTGTTACCGAGAATTGAGCCAACTGGCAGTCTCCAATCGGGGGCAATTGCTGACCTTGGAGGACCTGCCGCCGCCAAGGGTCCCAATGCCCTCATTTGATTCCTGTCGGAGGACAAAGTTCTCAATGCTACGCTGGCTGTCATTACTAGTGGAGAGACTCGTCCCAGAACTATGTTTTACAACGGGAGCTGTGACTAGCTCCCTCCACGGTTTCCTGGCGGCATCAGCACAGGTGCCTGGACGCGTCTCCGACTGGTGTGTTTACCGCGTCCAAAAAAGTGGTCCCTCGATTTCCGCCTGATGACGTCACAGAAGTCTCATGCTGCCGCCGGTCGCGAACCTGGCGGCGTCCCAACAGTTGTGGTACATATGGCAGACACCTGTTCTGCTGCAGGTCGCTTTCCAATGCGGCAGTCCACGGAAGCTAGAGTAGCCGGAAGTTGGGACGCCGCGACGACAGCGACACTCGCGTTTGCCTGTGGTTTTCGCCAGCATTTCTACGACCAACCGCCAGGATCGCGACATCCGACAGCAGGACACTCCGGCTTCTGCGACGTCGTTTGTTGCCACTTGGGGACCACTTTTGATGGATGGGCGGGATAGGACGCTAAACACACCAGTCGGAGACGCGCTCCAGGCACCATACCGGAGGGCATTGCGAGAGGGAAAACGGAAGAAGCATTCCAAGTTTCCACCGCTTAAAGCACACAGTGCTTGCCGAGGGGGACGGGCGAGAGCGTGAGAGCGCAGCTAGGTTACGCGAGACGCAATGTCAGGCTGCCTTAGGTGCTCAATTATTTCGCAAGAGCGCGTGGTCGCGCCACACAGAGAGAGAGAGGGCAAGAGCATGCACTGATCACGCGCACTGTTATGTCACCGATCGAAACTCTGACGGCGTCATTCGCTTCGCTTTGGTGCATCGCGCGTAACCGTCCCGTTTTCTGACGGGTCGCCCAAAGAGTATGCCTCGGCAAACAGCTGCTGCCTGCAAACGTCTTGGGACGAGAAAGCGGCCAAGTTCAATGGGTGATAGTGGTGTGCCAGTAGGCAGGCTGGAAAGACGTCTCGCCGACCCTGCTCGTTCGCACCACGGCACGTGCGTAGCCAAAGCTATTATCCAACACACGCTGCGTGAACTGCTTCGCCGCACTTTCATAACGTTCACGCTCGGCAGGGTTGGCGAGACTTGCTTTCCAGCGCGCCTGCTCGCATTTCAACCTGGCTGCTCTCTCATCCGAAGAAGATGACAAGGGCTCAGGGCTCAGGCGTGTTCTTGAGCCCACTGGGAAACGGACGTCTAGGCAGGATGTGGCGAGGGATTTGGAACCAGTGCAACCGCCATTTCTTTCTGCGGAACGTCGTCTTGGAGAGGAATTTCCATCGGACGTTGCTGGGGCACCTCGAGGCCGCGTGACGGTGCATGGAACCGGGAGGTCACGCGGTACGATCTGGGCGCCGGATTGGCCGCACCTGCTTGTAGCGTCGGCCATAGCCGGTCTCATGGTGAGAGGATGTGGGACGCTTTGGCCTTCCTCTCCATGCCCTCTGACCACCTGCTCTCGGAGGGATGACGCAATATCTGTTTCCGCTAACGCCGTCGCCAAACGAGCCAGCTCTCGTCGTAATATTAAATGCCCATGGAAATGTAGCGAAGGCGTCGCAAATTCTGATCCACCGGCATATGCTGAATGAACACGGACGAATGAGGGAGATTACCGAGCAGGATCTTGCCCATGCGGAGCTCCTTGAAGGCTCGTTTTTTCTGCCGGCCAGCCAGGCTGTAGTTGCGCTGCAGGTCGTTGGTGAGCAGTAGCCTCACCAAGATCTGGACGCAGCGCTGAAGTGCCTTGGACCCCTTGCCAAGCAGCTGCACTTTCTGTCAAGGAGATGTACACACGTGCCAACAGCGGCTAAGTTTAGTTTAAAAATCCTACAAAAAAAACTGCAGTGAAACAAAGCCAACGTAATCTACGCAGATACGCAATGTTTTGACAAGACAGAACAACAGCCGACATAAGCAACTAGATGCAGTGCGCATCAGGGTCATCCAGCTCTGGGCTTGGTACACAAACACGCAGCTGCCAATGATAAGTCGCCTGGAACTGAAACATTCCAGCTTTTAAATTCGGACTATGCCGTTTGCTTTCAAAGCAGGCTGATAGAGTCCCAAACTGACATGTAATCGAGCAAGCAAGCCCCATATTTGCAGCACTGGAACCTGGTTTGAGTGAGTACTATAGGCACATGGTCACAATGCACCTGTTATGCAAATCTCTTTTGCAAAACAAATGCACATCTGAACATCCAAAAGAAAAAAGATGCGCAGAGTTCTTGCCTATGGGGCAAGATATTTACTTAGAACCCAATGAATATTGTGAACCGCTCCGAGGGGACTCCGCTGATGCCAATCAAAAACACCTTAGTGTGACCTCCAACGCAAAGCTCTTCTTGGGAGGGCCCGTTTATGGCCAATCTCGTACTTGAGTCAGAGCCCAGGTTGGTAAACCAGTGTGGATAGGGGTGAGCGGCAGAATGCAGTCCTTCATTTGTACGCAACCGCGGTGAGGCGACAAGTGCTACATGGAGACCCAAGGAGGTCTGTTCACACTGTGCATAGTTTCCCAGAAACTGATCACTGTTCTTTTAGTGCTACACAAGCTGTCTCAACTACACCGAGATATTTTGCGAGTGCTCCATATTTTTTCTGTACGCCTCATGGGACATTTAACTTATGGAGTTTGTGGCATGTCATTTGCCCAGTGCGAGCTCTCCCACATTAAGCATGTCTGCTCTTTTTTTCGCATTTCAACCAATTTGATTAAGACAGCACCGTGCCAAGGTCAATGTTGTCCTTGCGTGTGAAGGTGAATTAGCCGGTTGTATAAAACTTCATTTCTGCGAAACTATGCAGTGTGAGCAGACCTTAAATTCCCTAGGCACCGATAAATTCCTTAAACTTGCGCTTAGAATAAAATTTGACTGCATGTCGACATTGCGTGTGCTTTTGCTCCGCCTCAAAATGTAGGTGGCAACATTTGTTGGATTGTTTGGGAAGGTGGAAGTGCAACGTACGAGAGCCTGTCTGACCGAGACGTCGGCCAGCAATCGCTCGGCCTCCTGGACGTCTGGCAATGTCCGCAGGGGCAGATCCGACAGCAGGGAGGGCAAAGCCACGGGGCCAGGAAGGGGGGCTTCAGCCTGCTGAGAGGCAGCCTCCAGCTGCAGAACGTGCGACCTCACGGCGTCCACGTCCTGCTTCAGGCTCCTCACGTGCTGCCGGATCTCCACCAGGAGAGGCACCACTTGCCTCGCCAAAGCTGGAAAACACCGCGAAAAGTCTGCCATCAACCAAAGTCTGCTTCAACAACTAAGGGCAACACAGTGCATGTGAAACATACATCAGCTATGCTGCTACCTCTCTTGACAAGTTTCAAGTGAAGCACAAGTCAATCCAAAGTGCAATTCTCAGCCTTAAAACGAGGTTTCTGAGATGGACTTTTCATCGTGGGATGCTCGGGTTGCAGGGGCTGAAAAGGCGTATGCCGCTGCAAGGCTGCTTGCCAACTGCTGCCTTCTTCCATCAAGGCAGAGGCTCCAGATTGCCTGGTGGAAAACAGACATTGGATATAGGCTAACCACCCTCAATGCCCCAATCCAATATTCACAAGCTCACTGAAGGAAAGTTTCAAGCTATAATAGGTGGTTTCCTTTGTCCCAAAAAACCAAATGTTTCTACATCAAACACAAGCTTGTCTTTGCAAAGCACAGTGAAGACAGGATTTGATTCCAGCTTGGACGCAGAATGTAGCAGCTGGATGTGCGGCGCTCACAACATCTGAAACAGGCAAAGAGTCACTCGATCAGTGCGCGAAGGAAGAGAATGTCCATAAAAGCTACTAAATTACACCATGAGCATCTATGCTGCCAACGTACCTACAATGCAGCTTGCCATGGTGAATTTGCTCAAGTTGGTCTTCCCTTTCCTGCCAGGAAAACTTTGCAGCCAACTTGTCTGCACTTAGGTACACCGAGATTCTTCGGGTGGCTTCAAGGACCTGGAAACGATACCAATGTTCCGATACACACGTTTCCTGTTTTGCCTGAAGATGCTTTAGGCCAGGAGTGGCCAAGCTGCGGCTCTTCGCGTGTTAAAGTGCGGCCCCTCCCGGTCACACGAGCACTTCCCCAAAAAGATTAATGGAAGGCGTTTTAAATCGAAATGCAGGTTGCAGTTTGGTAGACTTGTGCTACTGCTACCTTACATACTGTTGGACTGCTTATAATTCAGATAGATCAAAGGTAGTTCAAGCTTCCTTTATTGCCCTAAACAAAAGTTTGCCCCCCCCCCCCCCACCTTGCGGCTCTTAGAGGTTTCGTAGTTTTGTTTGCGGCTCTTAGGCCGGGTCAGCCTGGCCACCCCTGCTTTAGGCAAATGCTTAATACTTGCAAAAGCTTGTTTTGTGTCAGCAACCAGACTGCTATCAAACGCTCCCTCCATGGTAGGAAATGGCCCAGACACAAGTCGAGCAGCTATAGACTGCTGCGTCCCAATGGTAAGTTGATCTCCCTGCTCTTGCAGCTGGATGACCTCCAGCCTCCGGAGAACTTGACGCTGCAAGTCTGGAAAAACCACCTTACTAGAATACTAACTGTATTTACTCCAATGCTGATGGGCAACTGGATATTGACATTGGGAGCATGCATGACGCCCCCCGTAACTCTAGTTCTTAGGAAGAGCTGTGCACGACACGACTCCTTCTCTTTCGTGTTCTGCGCGTGCAGGAAGACTCCCACGACGCATTGCGGCAGCATAGCCAAACTGGCTGGTGAGGTAACCAAGTTGGACCCAGCCTGTCTCCTTATTTCTTTCTCAACATGCTGGCAGAAGCTCCCTGCAGCTGCTTAGGCTGATAGACCCATTCCAAGAGGATCCTAGAATAGGCAGCAATATCAGGGTGCTTTTTTTTTTTTATTCTTGCAGATTTGTTCTAAAAGAAGCCGTGAAAGCTACACTTTTGCGGTTTCTGCGACTGAATTGTACGCCCAGGGGGACATTATGGGGGTGGGTAATCTTAGAGATAAGTCGAACTAATCAATTAAAATTCGTTAATTACCCTTTTAATTAGTGAAAATAGACATATGGTTCCAACCATGTTGAATTAACCTGAGACTGGGGTAGAGAAGAAACATCAAAACGTAGATGGGACAGAAAATAGACAGGACGACATCTCAAACTCAGCTAACTCATTTATCTTGATCTGTATAACTTTGTCCTTTTTTGTGTTGGTGGAGATGACCTTGAGATTGAGGTGGACTAAATAAATGAGTTAGCTGAGTTTGAGACGTCGTCCTGTCTATTTTCTGAACCCTTCTACGTTTTGATGTTTCTTCTCTACCCCAGTCTCAGGTTCATTCAACATGGTTGGAACCATATGTCTATTTTCACTAATTAAAAAGGTATTTAACGATTGATTAGTCGACTTATCACTAAGATTAGCCACCCGCACAATGTCCCCCTGGGCGTACAATTCACTCGCACAAACCGCATAAGAGCAGTTTTCACGGCTTTTTTTTTTTTTTTAAACAAATCTGCAAGGTAAGCTGATTCTTTTGCAGATAAGGTGACATGGGCACGCATTCATCGTCTTTGTTGGCCCGGTCTAGCGCGGTGCAACCACTGGTTGTGCCGCACTCCCGGCAGTGCAGACCTAAATCCCTAAATGCCCTGAGTTGGCTCTAGTAATGTTATTCTGGTGTTCGCCGGATCGTTGAGGCACCGTCCAGTGAGTGCCTATTTTTTTGAGACGTTTAGGAAGTCCGGCTACTCTAAAGGGAGAACCATCAAAATGCACGTACCAATTAAGCAAAGGTGTTTGGATTGGTCCAAGTATTAAACGCAGTTCACTTCCATGTCAACGTATCAGTCCGCAAACACTGCAAATCCTAGAAATACAGAGGCAACAGACAGCACAAAAAACGCCGCCAATCCACCCGTTGAAAAAAAAAAAAGAAAAAAAGAAAAAAAAGTTGGTTTATGACCGGCGACTAGAAAAAACTTCGGCGCGCACTTTATTGGATGAAATTTGGTGACGTCACAACCAATAGGCGCACGGAAACAGACGCGGTCTCCTCAACGCCCGGAGAAACATCGGAAACATCGTGCCTGACGCCTGACGAACCGTCGTCGAACGAAAGGTGAGTGGTTTGAGTTTTCCTGTGATGTGATCTCTATGTGTGTTCGTTTCACGCGTCCGAGCTGTTCCTTCGTTTCAGATCTATTTGGCGCCGCTGCCTACATTGTTTGAGCCTGCGTTCACGATTAAAACAACCATCGCAGAAAGCTGAAAGCCCGCCGAAGAACGGCTGACTTGCGAGCTAAACCTAATTCAACAAAACTATTTGATGACCGACAGAATAATGTGCTTGATCTTACATTTCATGTCAACAAAGAACTGCGCTGCCTGTCTTCGTCCCTACATGTTTTATTCTTTCGTGTTTTTCAAATCTTTACCAACCCGCATCCAATCGAATGCCCCGATCACAACAAATAGTTGGTCGTGCTCCGATGGCCCTTATCATCAGCCGGTAAGGCAGTTACGTTTTTCGTTTCTATATTTTGACCCAAGTAACGTCATATTCTCAAACTGTGAAATTCTATCACCACCTCTAGTTTTACATTCTGGTGCACCGTGCACTTGCAGCTTCCTGCACCCCTGCGAGGTTTCCTGCGATCGTACCTTGTATATGATGGATTTCTCGCCGCACGCGAGTGCTCGAAGGCGTGCTATACACTCTGTAACATAGGTTGTGTGCAGAAAAGGCACAGGCCCGAGCACAAAAGCGCCCTTTTTGCACGAGCAGCCGTGCAAAAAGAACATTCTGCGGAGCTACGCCCTCGCGCCCGTGCCTCTGCTGCACACAACTTATTCATAACCGAGCCGTTCTCGTTTCTTTTGCATGTTACTGGGAAAGAAGTGTCATTGTTTTTTTTTCTCAAACAAAACTCAGACGCGAGACAAAAGCAAACAGATAGAAGTCTGCACATTCACACCCTTTTCTCCCTTGTGCGACAGGTTATAGCTGGTCGCGATTCAACACCGTTTCTTTTGAAGCTGATGGGTACCACAAGGCGTGAAAGGGGTGACTTGCAGCTTTACCAAGGCAGCAGCAAGACACTGCAAGCCTTCGCAGCAACTGGCTAGCCAGTGCCACTGTTTTCCGAACAGCACTGCGTGCCATGCAGAGGGTTTGTGCAAGCTCTCTGGGTGGCGACGCTAGCCACGGTAAGTGCATCCTATGCAGCTTTCTTCTAGGGATATATGTGGCTTGCAGGCCATGTCGTGCATGTGCCACCCAACAAACAGCAGTGCCAGTGGCAAGGCTGTGCTGATGGTAATCACCGCTGCACCTTGTTTTTATTCAATAACCACTGACAAGGAACCAAGTACTTCCGAGAGATTCTCGGTTGTGCTTTGATGAACCCCAGCTCGCTTATGAACAGGTGGATGGCACAGCTGGCCTTTCCTAATGGACTTGGTGTCCGTGTTAACAATGCAACCAGACTTTTTTTTACTTTGTGGCGGTTTTTCCGTTGCGGGTGACTAGCATTGCTGTAGAGAAATATGCAAAATAGCGTAATGTTTGCGTTAGTTACCTAAGTTAATGGCGGGAATAACTGACCTACATTTCCATCGACTGCATTTCTCAGAAGAATAGCCTGGACTAGATAGCTTGCTGCACCCTTCCTCCTTAGCCTGTACAACTCGGCGTCTTCCCCTGATTGTCTTATGTGGCTGCTTCTGTGTTTGCCTAGGCACTCAGTTGAAGTAGTGAAAGCTGTCTGCATTGCACATAACTGCCATGAAAGCCAGTGTGGACGTAGCTGGGGTAGCCCCCAATATGGCTTCTCTGGCTCGACACAAGTAACGTTCCTACCACTGTCGTGTTCGCAGAAAAGAGACCTGCTTAAAAAATCCAGCGATTTTTTGGGCAACCCCACCTAACCACTTTTTCGAATTAGCCATCTTTTACTCTTTCTGGTATGCTATTTACTATCGCGAAATTCAAAATAGTTATTGTAACATCGGCAAATGAAAATGACGCTGAGGCCAAGATTCAAATACCGTAAAATACCGGGCAAGCACCCACTCAGACTTTGGAGAATCTAAAAAAATGGGGGATGGGCGCTTGTCCGGTCATGAATTTTACATATAAATGTACTGTGCATATTTCCTCAGATCTCACAAATTTGGTAATGGGCGCTTTTTGTGGAATGGGTGGATGCGCGGTATTTTACGGTATACTTGCGCTTCTCATTGCCGTGATGTCACGGCAGGCACATTGCCAGGATTTTGTTTTGGGGGGGGCGCCTGCCTATGACAAAGTGCTGTACAAGGGGGTGGAAGGAGAGGAGGTCCCAGCAGAATGGAAGATTTCGGGCGACCTTCCAAAACATTCTTTTGACGCCATGAAACTGGATCAGTTGGGAACAAAGTACAGCCCAAAGAGTGAACCCCTGCCTTCCCATGACGTCACAATTTCAATGTTGCCAGTAGAACTTTTCACTTCGAAAAACATGATGATGACCAAAATTGTAAATTTTGTAACTTTGCAAAAAAAAGTTATTTTGGCCAAATATTTGGGTTAGTATTTCAGCGATGTTTGTTGGTGTTAAGCAGGTTTTTAGTCAAATTGGGGACAATGAAGAAGTACCCCTTTAAAGGGGACTCCGGCATTTTAGGTAGCATTTTAGGGATTAGGTAGCCGACTTTTCGAGCTACCTAATCCAAGGGCATAATCTGAATGCGGATGGCTTCCTGATTCCAAAATGCTATCTCGTTTTCCCAGATTCACTCTAGTTAACCGAAGCACCGTTCTACCTAGTTTTTTTCCCAGTTCTCCCCGCCGCCCAAGCGTCACGTCACTTGTGTGCAGCGATGCGCGCGGCCGGCAATCGGGTACGCTTGCGCCCGCCTTTCTCCCGTGTAACAGCGAGAAAACCTGGGCGTTCGTGCTGTTTAAAGTTGATAATTATATAAATTTGCACAAAGTATGGCCTTGATCTACGTGCATAACTATAAGCAAGTAAAAGAAAAACGGGAGCAATTGGAATTTTCATAAAACCGATTTTGCAACTCGCTACGCTCAAGCCGCGCCTCGCTAGTTTCGTGAAATCGCTGGTAAATCCATTCTCTTTTTATTAGAAGATGGCTGGCGATGAGAGGTCGCCGTGTCGCATGCAAGGTCGGAAACGTGTGTCTCAATCTGTCACGTGCGGCGACTCGGAGCGGCGTTCGGACTGTCGGATCGGACGATTCTGCCGACCGTGTGTCTCGCGCTTAAAGGAGGAACCGTGACTTACCAGATAGGTATAGTGTATCCTCATGACCAATGTTTCGGACGGCTTCAAGTCCGAAAGTTCGATTATTCGGGCAAAATCGTCGCGAGCGATCAGCAGGAGACACCACCGAGTGGTGGCCATTTTGAGTTCTATGTTGGCTGCAAGTGGATTGGCTTGGTTTGGCAGCGCTACTTGGGTACTCCCGAGTCCTACCGCTAGGTGACGCTATGCTACCCCTTTTTTCCCATTTAGCTCCACGTCATCATCGTCACTCTCCTTCTGCTTTGTTTCCTTCCATCCCTTCGCGCCTCCGCCCCACTTTCGAGTCGCCATTTTGCGCTCGTGGAATTGTGCCTCTCTTCTCGTTAGGACAACGCTGGCTTGGATGTCTTGACCCCATCTGTTCTTCTGCTGCCGCAATGTGTCGTTAAAAAGCGCAAAAAGCGCTTGACCGTAACGCTAGAAAAGAAAGGCAGCAATTCTCGAGCTAACAGAAAGTTGCCGAACGCAAACAAAGGCGTAACCTGGAGCGAGGCACTATTTGTGGCTTTTTTAAGGCCACTTGGAAGAAAGGCAATTTTTTCAATCTGCTGATTTTTCGCGCTGCTCTATTCGGGCGTTTTTTCGGTACCTGCGAAGTCTGAATAATCGGTCGGCGACTGCATTGCAAAACTGAAGAATTAGCGATAACCTTAGACACGTCATTGGCAAAAACAGAAAAAAGTAGAGTCCCCAGCACCGACCCCCGAGGGACCCCGGACGTGACACCATATCTTTACGAGTATTTGCCGTTTACTCAAACAAGGCACGCTGCACGCGAGAAATAATCTTCTAGCCAGGGGTGTAATGTCCCACATACACCATACTGCACTAGTTTTGACAGCAGAATGCCCTGGTCAACATCAAAAGCCTTACTAAGGTCAAAATATCCAGTGTCCACCTGTCTCTTATTGCACGCGGCCTTTGAGGCCACAGACATAAAAGCAACCAAATTTGTTTATTAATAATCAATCAATGTTTATTAAAGTGTCCAGGAACAACCAATCGGTCTTAGTGCTGGCACACTAAAAAAATGAGCAAAAACACACACATACAAACACGCATACACACGAGTGCAGAAGGAGAAGGTAGTTCTCCAGTCTGAGGATAAAAATATTAACGAGTATGAAAGACACTCAAATCAACGCGGGAAATCAAAAGCACAAAACAGAGACATCACCGGGTGTGAGAGAAAAAAGCAAATACTACATCAACGCTTCAACTGATCAGCCCGTCCAGCTGCGGGTTCTCGCTCCCTTCATAGTCAGGTTGCACTGCCGGCGGGTCAAGGTAGAGGTACCTCGCGGCGAGTTGGTCCATGCTGCGCTCTTGTGGTCCCTGGATCTTGTAAACCAGCTGAGCCAGCCGGTTAGTCGTAGCTGTCTTGGTCTTCTCCGGCTCGACAAGCGCCCGATGTCGAGACTTAAGCTCTGGTTAGTCGACGCTTTGACTGACCGTCCAGTTCGGAACAGGTCCCGGGTTTCGGCACCGACGTAACGGTATCTTTCAGTTTACGTTTGACGCTGCAGTCTGATTAAAACTCGTAAGCTGCTTTACTGGTTCATCCTCATCAGATACACCATTTTTTACGTCGCTTTGCCCTTTTTCTTTTCTCTCGGCGTCCTGGCCACTCGCAC